AGGGTCTCGGTAGCAGAAAGAGTTTACAACTCGGTCAACAAACACACGACATCTCGATGACGTCATCAAAGAAACGGAGAGAACGGAGGACATTTCCACTGGGAGACTCAGAAGGTTTTGTGGACGTGTAAGCGTAATATGGATCATTAGTTTAACAGGTTAGCCGTCATTACGATCATGACACTAGCACTTCGGCACCTCAGCTACTCAGAGAGATTAAAGAGCCTGCAATTGCCTAGCTTATACTACAGACGGGCAAGGGGAGACCTAATTGAGGTGTATAAACATCTCAGAATGCACTACTCGTCGAGTGTCCTTACCTGAAACTGGCAGACGCTCCCCCCACAAGGGGTCACAGCTCAAGATTGAAGAAGCTGCAAGTCCGGATAACTGTGAGGGCAAACTTTTTCGGAGTGAGCGTTGTGAACTCTTGGAACAATCTGCCAGAAAGTGTTGTGACGGCTCCGAGTGTGAGCTCTTTCAAGACAAGACTTGACCAACACTGGAGCAGGTTTAGATACATTCAGGAGCCAGTGTATGCCCAGTACTTGCCAACAGTATGTTGTACTGCGCACATCATTGTCATTCCTAAAAAAAAACCTTTAACTCATGTTACGCTACATAACATTCAAATCCACAGCGTTTGTACAATCTCAGAAAACGGGAAACATTGATAAGGGATAACTCACCTACTCAATGTTACTGAATCATGTGTTGTATTGTACCCAGGTACGGTTATATAATATTAATTGCATGTATTCATAGCATTAAGGAGAACTCAGGGTATCCATAAGATGATTTGGAAAGTCCAGTTGAGCCGGACTAGTGTACTGTAGGACTAAGTATGGATCATGGTTTGAAGGTCATACTATTTACGTATGTGAACGTGTAGCAAACATAACTTCCACAAATATCATATGAAAATACATGAGAACAATGATCTGGAAAAAGGATAAATGTAGCAGAACTATGTGAGGTGTTGGAAGTGACCCAGAAACTATACTTGAAAGGAAATATCTTGTATGTATCGGTGTGAACTTAATACACCTCGTATCCTCGGGTGACGTATACCCACGACATGTACAGTGATCAGAGAATCTTATGTCTGTGTTCAAATAGTGCAATGTGTGAGAGGAGGATCCCTAATTACAGTTTTAAGTGAAGTGGATATACCCACGCCATGAACATTCGGCTTTTGTTTTAAGGGAGCGTCCTTTGTACCCGCCTCGAGTGTGCCGCGTTGATATTATAACCCAATGAATTTACCCACGAACTAGCAAACCAGAACCTTACCTTAGTGTTTAATTTAGGATTAAAATATGTGTTTATAAGACATGAGTTATAATATACAGGAAAGTGTTCATGTAAGAACCGTAAGAAATAAAAGTAAAAATTAAAGATTAGAAACTGTAGGCCTATGCAGTGATGAGCGACGGGGCACTGCCCTCAGTGTCCTCCATTCTACCATCACCTCAGGTCAGTGTCCTCTATCGGGCTACATCCTGCCCTGTAAAAAAGGCTTATATAGCAGTTATTACAGTTTAAAGCTTTGCCTGATGTATAAGTGAAATAGTAATGTGTTAGGGTGTGTGATAACCGCCCATCAGGCATTGTTTCTCAGTGTCCTCCGTTCTACCGTCACCTCAGGTCCCATGCGGTCGGAGTGCTTTGCTGGGCGGAGGCCATTATCCTTGGAAGCGTCCCACTAGGTCAGGGGTTTTCAAACTATGGGTCCCGACCCTTCAGTGGGTCGCGAAATAAATAAATTGGGTCGCAAAATAAATAAGAAAAAAAATAAAATGGGTCGCGAAAATAAATAAGAAAATAAAAATAAATGCACCATAATTTAGGCTTTGTTATTGTAATGTACACTCCACAGTCTAGGAAGCGACTGCAAGGAGAGCATTTCCTGATTCTTTCTTTACCTCTCATGTTATCCGTTTTGCGCATTTCATATCATTTCACTTAGGTTTAATGGGTCACAATTCAAATTGTTGTTCTGGCTGTGGGTCGCAGTAAAAAAAGTTTGAAAAACACTGCACTAGGTGGTGACTACTCCCAGCTATGCCAATCCACTGTGAACCTGTGGATTCCTCGCATACCATCCCAAATGAGGAACAAATAAAGAAACGCGTGAGAAAGTCCGCGGTCGTCACTTGGAGCGACCTATAATACCAGGTGTAGAAATAGTACTGGTATGTCTCTTGGTGTAGCCCTCATCTCTACCCACCGAGGGCAGTCTGCGAACGAGGTGCCTGATATGTGTACCTAGAAATTACAAGGAGTTCCATACTTGCAGGTATGGAGTGTAACAGGTGTGGAGGAGATGCTACAGGGAGGTGAGATGATGCTACCATGTATGATAACCTAAGGTGCTATATTCCATACAGGTGCAGTCTGACGTGTTGAGTGTTATTGTAAGAAGGCATGACCGGGTAAGGAGGTCACTGATTGTTATGCAATAAGTATGTTTTATAAGGAATAAATAAGTTAAGACATGTTATGGTTTCACCCTTCTTCCCCCTTATCGATCTGGTCAATGAAAAACCTAACCCAATGCCTAGCTCACTCTGCCCGCTACCTAACGAGCTACATACTACCCAGAGGGGGTCTGGTGGCAGCAACCCTTAGAAATTAAGATTAGAGTTAAGTTATCCCCTTAGACTTAGTGATCCCAGATCTGGCAGTATAGCGTAACAAAGAAGTGACAGATCAACCAAGCGGCTAACAAGCCGATCAGACTTACTTGGAGCTGGCGGACGCTCGCCCCACAAGGGGTCACAGCTCAAGATTGAATTAGCCGCATGTCCAGAAAACTGTGAGGGCAAACTTTTTCGGAGTGAGAGTTGTGAACTCTCGGAACAATCTACCAGAAAGTGTTGTGACGGCACCGAGAGTGAGCTCTTTCAAGACAAGATTTGACCAACACTGGAGCGGGTTCAGGTACATTCAGGAGCCGGTGCATGCCCAGTACTTGCCAACAGTGCGTAACAGAGACGTGACGTAAAAGTGATGAAGAGGATCTTAGTTGTTGAAGATCAGTAAGAACATTGACAAACACATGGAGAGAAAATACACATTGAATTGAACAAGAGTGCATTAATCTACCCACTGGCTTCCTTTCCCCTGTTCAAGCGGTAATTTAAAGAAAAAATCATCTTAAGTTTTGCATTTCATGTAGTATAACACAGGTTGAAGTAAAATTCCTTCACAAAACACTAGAATTATTTATCTGTAGATGATATTCTAATATCTGTCATTGGCAAACTTTAAGAAGGTAATATACACCAGAAAGACTGACACATGCAGGGAGTTACACCCAAAGTAAATGTAAGGAAATGACCACCAGTAAAACATTAGTAACACCATACTGTGTCAGGGTGTAGAGAGGTGACCACCTTTAACACATTAGTAACACCATACTGCGTCAGGGTGTAGAGAGATGACAACCAGTAACACATTAATAACACCATACTGCGTCAGGGTGTAGAGAGATGACAACCGTTAACACATTAATAACACCAAACTGCGTCAGGGTGTAGAGAGATGACCACCAGTAACACATTAATAACACCAAACTGCGTCAGGGTGTAGAGAGATGACCACCTGTAACATTCGTTCCTCCTGAAGGGTCAACAGATCGTCGTTTTCTGTGGTACAACGGGAGAAAACGGGAACGAATAATAAACAAGATCCTCCCAATGGCCTCCCTCAGCCGATCTCTCACCCATTTCACCAAACTTGGTCCACTACTGCAGGGCACAAGGGCTGTAACGCAGGTGATTATGTTCATAAGAAACTTAAACATATAATAACTTAATTTATAACTGTTGATAATTATGGTTTCATTTATTTATTGTGTTTTAGGTGACTTTGCCTGGCGTCGTCTGCTGGGGTCCTCAGGGTGATGCCCTTATAAAACTTCTGCCAACTCGTGTAGAAGGTTCATTATATACTGTTTTATTAATACCACAGTCATGTTAACCGTCTTACTGTATTAATAAACTAGTAAAAATAAAGAACAATGCCTCTTAACAAGCTGTCTGTTCATTGGTAAAACCATATCTTGCCTCGCCACAGTGAGGGGTTAGTGAGGGGTGTACCTCCAACTCGGCCCATCTTAAATAACTAACTCGATCTACATTACTAACTAGGATGGAATTTCAGTCATACACCGGTCTTTCTCGCGCTGTTATTAATATGGTTTTCGTGATGTTTAGACAATTCTAAGATCCTTTTCTTCTGGGCTATTTCCGCCGGAAATTAAGGATAACCGAGATATTAATTTTTCAAGATTATTAGATTTGGTCAGTCACAAGTGTCGCCATTTGTTGTTTAAGTCTTACAGAGAAGGCCTGACCAGCCATCACGCTTCTTAAGCGTCTACAGTGCAAGTGCGCTGGGTTGTGTGGGAGTTTCTTATTGGCTATAGCGATAGGAGACTTATTATTAGTTAAGAGTGTTTTGTCTTAGCCAAGGAACAATACGTGGGTGCGTGGGGAGCGGAGATTTGATTTTTCAGTACCAGAATAACCAGATATGGCTGAACAGGTGGAAAGAGCTGCGCTGACATTGTGATAGAGATTTTTTTATGTCACTTGCAGAGTTTCATAGGGTTAGGTTAGGTCAGGTCAGGTCAGGTCAGGTCAGGTTTGGTTTGGTTTTGTTGGTTGGTTGGTATTTTATTTATGTGATTTAATCGAGAATTTTCTTTTTCATGCCGATTGATGGGTGGGGGAGGGGGGTGGTATCTAAAAAAAACTCTTGATTTCCGACTGAAATGAATATCAAATTCATTCGAAACTCGTCAAATAACATTGGAAAAACATATTTTTAATATCCAAACAAAGACCTGTGCATTAGTGAAAATTGACCCTAACTTGGCCCACCTTGCATGCTGCAAGTAGCGGACTAGAGGTTCAGGAATGAGTTTGAGATATGTTTTATGTCTCTTTTAGTTCACTGAAATACGAGGAGTGTGAATGAGTGAATACCGAGGGTTCAATCGGTATGAAGGACAAATTTTATTAGTTTTATGTAAGTGGAACTTGATCAATATCCCATAATTCACATTCGTAACTTGTGCTTCTCCAGGTGATTTTGAATAGGGTTTGAAATTATTACTTGGAGCAATTTGCCTACAATTGATGTTAAACTAATTGGAGAGTAGTTAGAGGATAATGACCTATCTCCCTTCTTGAAAATCGGTATCACATTCACTATCCACCAGGCTGTTGGTACTACAGTACACCCATTTTTAATGACATGTTAAACAAATTTGCTTAGGTCATACGAAGCTCTTCCTTATATTCCTTTAATATTCTGGCAAATATATCATTGGGACCTGGTGACTTATTAAGCTTTAGTTTGTCTATTTGCTTACTAACATCGTTACTAGTCACTACTATCTCGCTTAATCTATTTTCTTCACTATGTCTGTATATAGTCAGTGCCTCGGGTATCATGTTTAAATTTTTGGTGGTGAAAATTGTTGAAAAATGCCTGTTCAGATTATTGCTCATTTCTCTGTCGTTATCAGTTAGCTCGCCGGTATTGGTCCAATCTTTTTTCTTGTTTTAGTTTGATACATTTGAGAGAATCCCATGGGGTTTGACTTTGCCTCCCTTTCTACCTTCAGTTCATTATTCCTCTTTGCTTTTCTTATCTCAGTCTTAACCCTACTGGCCAATACCTTATAATAATCTCGGAGGTAAACTACATGATTTATTCTCCAACCTATAGCCTTTCTTTGGCCAATAATATTCATTAAATAATTATTTATCCATTTGGGGTCATTGTTATTTGATCTGCATTTTCTGTATGGTATGTTCTGCCTTTGTGCATTAAGTAACTCATTATTTAAATTGTTGTGGAACTCATTAACCTCAGATCTCGTGATCAGGTTATCCTCAACCGTCATATTTTTTGAGGGTGTCATTGTCAGGTCTCCAGGTAAAGTGATCTTAATTGTGAAATAAATATAAAATATAAAAGTATATATAAAAGAAAAAGATCACATCTTCCACATATGCGCATTAATATATTAATAAGATAGAATGAAAAGATAAATAATAACAAGTCAATTCCCCACCCCCTTATAATCTATGTTGCTTTTTATCATTGTACTTTTATCATTCATACAAAAATGTGTAAACTTATACTTATTAGTCTGAGTTTGTTAACCTAAGCGGTCCTAGTTGGTGCAGTATTTGATGGTCCGAGTTGGCGAGTTGGATGTGAGCCGAGTTGGCAATGGGGTGAGTTGTACTGTAACCCAATGAGGCGTGTTAGTGATACAGGACCTCCAGGGGGGGGGTAGTGATGTATGGTAGAATGACTTGGTATGATTTTATTAATTAGTAAATATCAAGAATGTACTTTACATACTCATTGTAACTACTTAGAAATATGCTGTGGATATTTGTCCAGTTGTGGATTAAGTAGGGTTTTTTAGACTAACACCAGAAGGAGTTGATAAAATTGGACGAGACTTTGTGGAAATATTATTTACAACCTATTAAGTAGACTAATGGAAATGAGAATCCAGTAAGTATAGTTAGGTATGTTTTAAAAGGTTTTTCTGTTAAGTTAGGTAGGTTAGGTCAAGTTCCAATAGGGTCTGTGCATTCTCGTTGCCATTTATTCTTTAACTGACAACCGGACAAATATCCACAGCCTTAGAAATATATGGTATATAGGAAACAATGTTAATATACAGGATCATAAATCTGACAAACTTGATAATTAAAACTGAAAAATTATCAGAGTTAGATAATTATTTTGGTAATATATATGGACAAGGGTCTGGGTTATTCAGCCACCTAACATGGAAACTAAAATAAATTAGGTGAAAGACTAGCACTTTTTGTATTCAGGTTTTATTCCTTAGTTAATGCTGTAAATAAATGTTTCTGTCAGCCACCCGCTTCACAACGGCCCCATGTTTGTGTGTCACTGATGACTCAACTTGTATAAAGATAATGCAGGCATACAGTCTATTTAGTGAGGTAAACAGACAATGTACAGTTGAGACAAGTGTATGAAGTCAGTCTGATTCTGTCTTTATTTCTAGGTCCCAAATGTGTCCCAGAGAAGAACCTTCACGGCTGTAAGTATTATAAGTGTTACTTTTTTACTAAAATTTGATGAAATGAAAGCAGAACTCACTGTAAAGAAAATTTGTGTTAATTTCTTTAACTGTAATGTATATATTTTAGAAGAAAATGAAAATACTGTATACATAATGTAATTAAAATATTACTCCTCCCTCCCTCAAAAAATTAACAATATTTGCTGTAATAAAACAAAAAATAATGATGTACATAGCACATCATAGAATAAAATAGCACATATTTTACTAAAAAAAAAAAGAAGCTCATTCCGCCCTCAAACCATCCTGTGGGCGATAACAAGAATGAATCACACAGTTCAACCACCCAACTGACTCAGTCATGTGTGGCTGCTGCACTGTGATGTGTGTATGCCTTGATGTCACTTTGGGGAGGTAGCACAGTTGGCTGGTGACACAGTTACAGCCCACTGCCTCCACACACACACATACTAGGTAGTTTGGTAGTAGGCAGCTATCAAACAGGGAGGTACAACCTCCTGGGAAGAAAGTGAAAGCATAATGTGTTGTCTAATGGTAGACTCTGCTGCCATATGGCATCACAAAAATTGTGACCAAGTTCCAGGTTGCTGATCTGACTTTCTGCCTCATTTACACACAATTGCAGGGTCTCAATTGTTTCTCTTACTTTGACAACACAACATATATATACAGTGGTCCCTCGGTTAACGAATGACCTGGAACGAACACATTTCGTTCCAGAAGGTCATTCGTTAACCGAAACCATTGTTTCAATGGGATTTTGGGTAATTGGTTCCAGCTCACCGAAAATTACATACAAAGTAAAAATAAATGCAGTAAAGTACACCTACTTTGAGGTGTGTATGTAGAAGGCTCCTGGTTGAAGATGATGGGAATTAGAAGTGGGGGTGGAGGAGAAGGGAAGGAAGTGGGGGTGGAAGAGAAATCACCCCATGCTTCATGCCGTCATTTCACCCATAAAATTTTAAGTTCACTTGGTGTAATTCAAGATTATTTTCTTTATATCACTGCACTGCACTATATATTGTCAATATGTTAAATAAATTTCAGAATGACCAATAATTGTACTGTAAAAACGTAAAAATAGTTTATGTTCAAGAGAGTCTCAAGCAAGATGTTACCTCTACTGACCAGAGATACAAACTGACACCTGTTTGGTGAGTTGAGTGGCTGTTTGGTGCACTAAAAACTAGTTTCCTGTACTTCAATTATGTTAAACAATTGTTAAAATGACTAAAAATTTTAATATAAAACTTGGAAAATTATTGAAGAGTACAACCTTCTTGATATTTACTCAAATGGGAACGAATTTAAGCCCTAGAACCGATTACTGTATTGGCGGACTAATATTCCAGGTGGTGATCAAGCGAAAACATGTTGAGAGGAATTCGTAAGGAATTCGTTAACCGAATTGAATATTCTTATGGAAGGTAATTCGTTAACCGAGGGACCACTGTATATACAGTGAACCCTTGAAGATTCAGACTAAAAGGGGGGACCACCTGTCCGGAAAAGCCTATTGTCCGGATTTTCCGGCGAATAATGAATGATGTAAGAAACACCAAAATTACAGTATTAATGTAGTGATAAACAAATTACCCTATATAAATCATGCATATACCTGTGATAACACAATAAGAAACATTGTATCATTACCAGAGTGAATGATATAATATTCCCACAAACAACAATTGTCAACTGTGTTTGTCTCCCCCACCTCCTCGGGCACCTGTGTCCAAGCAACTGACTGGTCAAGCAGCGCCCACGGGCCTAAAATGTTCTTTGCTCTGGTTTGGGAATGTTTCTTAGGGAAACTTCTAGGAGGCTTCTTGGCCCAGAACCCCTCAATTTTTTTTGTCCAGATCTTCCGAAATCCGGATTTCTCGGGTTCGGATCTTCGAGAGTTTACTGTACAGGTATTGTTTCTCACTTTTGATCTTTTTTTATTTCTTTTATTTCTTTGTGGTTCTTTAGTATTTTTATTATTATTATAACAGTGGTGTTTGTTATCATTATTATTTTAGTATGTTATTTTTAATTGTGTATTTTATTAAAAAATTTATTTACTATGAATTATTATTATTATTATTATTATTATTACTGTATTATTATAAGATTACATTTTCACCTACCAGGCCCTGATGTGGGTCAGTGACCTGTGCCTGGGTGGGCTATTTCCTGTAAACACACACACACACACCTATCTTCCACTGGTTTAATTGCTACATTATTATGTTTATGTTCAGGATAATATTAATAAAGTTTGTTGTTGTCTTATTATGTTTATTTGTTACATGGAACTACAGTACAGTACTGTACAGGTATATGGCAAATTTGGGTTCCATATAAAGGCAGTGCCCAAGTTACAAATAGTTTACCATCCTAAACCTTGTTTGTAAGTCGGTCTCAGACTTCGTGGTGTGGACGCCATCACTGGTAAAATCTATGTCACAAGAGTAAATATATTTTTTGTGATTCTAATGTGTTTCTTTCTTGAAACAGTCGAAGCCATTCCCGGTGGCCCAGTATGGTGGACGGTTCACAGTCACCATGATGCCTGGTGATGGTATTGGGCCGGAGATGATGGGCTATGTTAAGAACATCTTCAGGTATGATACATGGCTCTAGTTGGTTGTATAATACCGTGCTGTACAGGTATTTCTCCAGTTACGGACAACTTTTCTGTAACTCGAGGGATCTGCCTGTACCTCGCTGCTGCTTCCACACACAGAGTTGACTTGTTTATATTATGATATTTGGCAAAGACATCCATCACAAATTTCTGTAGATAATTAAAAAAATATATATAAATTTGTATAAAATAGTGGTGACAATTTTCAGATATGCTGGTGTACCGGTTGACTTTGAGGAGGTCCAGATCACACAAGACTCAACTGAAGAAGAATTTGAGAATGCTTTAATTTGTATCAAGAGGAATGGTGTTGCTCTGAAAGGTTAGAAATGTTGCCTTTTGTTTATTTCGTGAAGAAATTTCCTTACCTTACCTCACTAGTGTGTTAGCCACTCACCATTTGTGTGGACCACCACTAGTGAGTGTGTTAGTCACCTACCTGTAAAAAATATTTATAGTTTTGGTCATAGAAAACATTGTAGTTGAGGTAGGACTGCACTACAGGTATCATGTTTCACCAAAAATGTTGGAAGATATATCTGACTTTTGTTTCCAAAGAATAATATTAAAGCTCAATAACTGTTCACAAAATGATGAGGTGAAGGCAAAACAGTTTTTATACAGGTACAGTGTCTGGTCATACCGCTGATGGTACTGTACTGTAGTAGTGATAGTTGCCAAGATTACTGTACGTAATTATTGGTAATTGGAAATTTGGATAAAACTACAGTACAGTACAGGTATAGCAAAGAAAATAATAATATGAATAACACAAAATAAGATGCAGGATACAGTGAGTTCTGCTATAACGCGTGTTTTGATAACGCGAATTTGCTCTAACGCGATTTATGAATTCGGAACAATATTTGTATAACGCGAACGCTTGTTTGCTATAACGCGATTTTTGCTTACTATTTCTCCAATTTTGTGGTATTAACTGTGAATATGGTAAAGAAGAATATCTCAAAAAAGCGTTCTGATGATAGAATTCCCGGTGATTATTGTAAAAGAAAGGATATAACACTTGAAGAGAAGCTCGATGTTATCAACCTCAAAATCACCCTTCTTCCCCATCAAGTTACATTCATATTTTTTCAAAGTAAAGTGTTACATTTACTGTATGATTTCATTATTAGATATGAATGTAACATTTATTTAGACTGTGCTATCCTTTGTGTTAGGCTAACTACTAAATTTTTTCGATTTCGAGTAATCTGCACCTAACCCTATTTTCTCCATAAGCCCTGTTATTTCTATTACGCGATTTTCTATAACACGATATTTTACAAGAACACAATTATCGCGTTATAGCAGAACTACCTGTAATAATTAATACCCACAGACAGACAAACAAGACAGCTATACATAGAGGAAAACTTGTTATACTCACCCATGTCCACGGACCATCACCTAACAGGCCAGGAATACACCAGAAACATAGAGATCAATTAAATTTATAAGTGAACTTGGATGAAATTATCTTGATGTATTTCATGTGAGTAGTGGGTCAGGTGGTAGAGTACAGGCAGTGTGTTGGTGGTGGTCTCTGCCTCACTCTTGTCCTCAGATATAAATTAAGGTTAAGAGAGTTAGTCATCTGTTTACATGTCTTTTCTGGTTTATTATTGTAAGGAAAGTTTGGAAGAGGTAATATGAAAGGTTTGCAAGAGAAAATATAAAATGTTTGCAATAGGTAATATAAAAAGGTTTGCAAGAGGTAATATAAAATGTTTGCAGTAGGTAATATGAAAGGTTTACAAGAGGCAATATAAAAGGTTTGCAAGAGGTAATATAAAATGTTTACAAGAGGTAATAAGAAAGGTTTACAAGAGGTAATATAAAAGGTTTGCAAGGGGTAATAAGAAAGGTTTACAGGAGGTAATATAAAAGGTTTGCAAGAGGTAATATAAAATGTTTGCAGTAGGTAATATGAAAGGTTTGCAAGAGGTAATATGAAAGGTTTACAAGAGGTAATATAAAAGGTTTGCAAGAGGTAATATAAAATGTTTACAAGAGGTAATAAGAAAGGTTTACAAGAGGTAATATAAAAGGTTTGCAAGAGGTAATATGAAAGGTTTACAAGAGGTAATATAAAAGGTTTGCAAGGGGTAATAAGAAAGGTTTACAGGAGGTAATATAAAAGGTTTGCAAGAGGTAATATAAAATGTTTACAAGAGGTAATAAGAAAGGTTTACAAGAGGTAATATAAAAGGTTTGCAAGAGGTAATATAAAAGGTTTGCAAGAGGTAATATAAAAGGTTTGCAAGAGGTAATATAAAAGGTTTGAAGAGGTAATATGAAAGGTTTACAAGAGGTAATATAAAAGGTTTACAAGAGGTAATATGAAAGGTTTACAAGAGGTAATATAAAAGGTTTACAAGAGGTAATATAAAAGGTTTGCAAGGGGTAATAAGAAAGGTTTACAAGAGGTAATATAAAAGGTTTACAAGAGGTAATATGAAAGGTTTACAAGAGGTAATATAAAAGGTTTGCTTGAGGTAATATGAAAGGTTTGCAAGAGGTAATATGAAAGGTTTACAAGAGGTAATATAAAAGGTTTGCAAGAGGTAATATAAAAGGTTTGAAGAGGTAATATGAAAGGTTTGCAAGAGGTAATATGAAAGGTTTACAAGAGGTAATATAAAAGGTTTGCAAGAGGTAATATAAAAGGTTTGAAGAGGTAATATAAAAGGTTTGCAAGAGGTAATATGAAAGGTTTACAAGAATTAATATAAAAGGTTTGCAAGAGGTAGTGTAAAAGGTTTACAAGAGGTAGTATAAAAGGTTTGCAAGAGGTAATACTATTCCACTTTTTAATGAAACTGCTGTCATTAAACAGCTTTACTCTGGTTGCCCTCCATCATACTGTACTGTGAAGAGTTTTGTATGATAAAAAAATACTTTGTACACTCATAAATTTACAGGTACGTATATTTTTTTAGAATAATAATATTTTCACAAGATGTATCATGGCCTGAGGACCATTAACATTAGGGGAGACAAAATTATTTAGCCACGAGGTAAAAAAAATATATATTACTTTATATTAAACTGCTTCTTTTATTTACTGTACATATTTTTCCCCATTCACTTGACCAGGCAGCATAGAGAGCAAGTATGGAGACGTTTCCAGCGGCTCTCGTAACGCCACCCTACGCACAGAACTCGACCTTTTTGCCAATGTTCTGCACTGTAAGTCCTACCCTTCAGTACGCTCCCGGTACAGTGACGTAGACATTATCCTGATTCGGGAGAACACGGAGGGAGAATACTCTATGATGGAACACGAGGTGAGTGCTCATGTCCACAGATTTTGTGATACTAATTCATTCTCACTTTGAAATTGCTTTGTAGTAATAGAGGCCATCATAATACTATACTATACTATACAGAGTACTATACTATTCTATACTATACTATACAGAGTACTATACTATACAGAGTACTATACTGTACTATAATCTACTATACTCTAAATGTTAAGACTTGATTTGGTCATTCAATATACTGTTTGATTAATAATACTACATGAAATATACTTAGCCACTGTAGTTCATCGTTAAATGGAGCTCTACTTACCTCTGTTCACTCTATACGATCATCACAAACAACAAATATCCTTTTATGGCTTTAAGGTGAGTAAGGTGTGAGATCCAGCCACTTGGGGTTATGTGAGAAAACTTATTGGACAGACTTGACTAAGCGAATCTGCCTGGCAAGAGATTCCACCAAAGAAGGAGATATGTGGATCACTTTTGTATATTTCTAGTTTAATGATTATGCTGGTGAAGGTCACATGGCCCAGGTGGAGCAGCACAGTAGTTAATAGGTTAGGTCTCTTCTTTGGCATTATTTAGAGGAATGTCCATCAGATTATTTTGGTATGAAGTATAATACTTAAGTTATGTTAATGAAGAGCTCCCTCATCCTGACTGTACCCCAGCTATTGGTAAAGCTGCCTCCTTTAGTAAGACACCTGTTGTAATGATTTATGTTTTGGGTATACTTGTAGCAGTCCTTAAAAATATTTATGCATTTTATTGGTACAGTACTGTACTGTACATGGCAAAATAGGTAGTGCCAGTCCACCTTCCAGAACCAGACACTACACACTGATGTTTCTCGTACCTTTTTCATCTTCCAGCCCAGCTGTATTCTCTATGACAGTATAGTACATATTAGTGTGACTTTACAGGGATTTTTGTTTAACTACATTTTTTTGCAGAATGTGAAAGGTGTGGTTGAGAGTCTGAAGATCATAACAAGGAAAGGCTCAGAAAGACTGGCACGGTACGGCTTTGAGTACGCTACAAGAAATGGTCGCAAGAAGGTCACAGCAATTCATAAAGCAAACATTATGTAAGTATTTATTTAATTTTATGTTTTTGGAAAGAATGAATTTGCTGTTGATTTATAGCAAGTTATGATTCTATTTATTTTTATGTGATTCTTCAAATGTTGTAACTGCTTCTTGCTGAGAATTCCTGTAGAATATACAGTAGTTCACCTTTATATTAACTTCACTCCTTTCTCCTTATTTTTTGTGGTGTGGGTTAGTAAGTGCAAAAGTGTGAGAAGAGGGCAGGGAGTGACAGGGAGAGTGGTGAGAGGAGAGAAAGTGACATGAAAAACTAAAACTAGTAGAGATATCCCTAAGTATTTGCTCACATCCTCAACTTACATACAGTATTGTACTTAGTATACAAAATAAATCTTTAGCATTCACACTCATTCACAATTCTTTATATCAATATATTTTGCATAGAATGTGTTGGAATGTTCATTAATAGTTTACTAAAAGAAACTTTCTTGTGTGTGAGGAGAAGCAATAGCATGTCCCTAATCCACGCCTCCCTATGAACCTCTTGCGTGCACCTGCTAGGCTGGTGTAAGTAGTCATTAAGTAATGTGCCTCGGCACACCAGGACAGGAAGAGGCTAACATATTGTTAAGAGAGAGCCTCAGTCTGTCTTATAAAGAATCTTGGTTTTGCTGTTAGTGAGATGCTTAGTCAAATTTATATTCTCAATATTCCATATAAATAACCAGTAAACCAGAGCTCCTAAGATACGAAAACAGAGTAACATACATTTAATATTCCACCAGGAAATTGTCTGATGGACTGTTTCTGGAGACTTGCCGCAACGTAGCGAAGGAATATCCGGAAATAGAATTCAACGACATGATTGTTGACAACACTTGCATGCAGGTGGTAGCCAGACCCCAGCAGTTTGACGTTATGGTGCTGCCCAACCTGTATGGTAATGTGGTGTCTAATGTCATTTGTGGCCTGGTGGGTGGACCGGGTCTACTGTCTGGACGTAACTATGGCCATCATGTGAGTTATCGTTCATTATGTCCCTCTCATTCAGTTTACCTTCATAGTGTGAAACCATTGACGCATTTCATTGGAGAATAAAGTTACGCTCCTTTAGGGAGATATTTATGTACTTTTACCATATACGTTAATGCTGTGTCAGGGTTATTTATTCAAATTCTTTTTCATTTCCAGTTTGCGGTGTTTGAACCAGGGACACGGAACACAGGGCTTTCGGTGGCAGGTCGCAACATAGCTAATCCCATAGCCATGCTGAACGCTGCGTGTGATATGCTGGAGCACCTGAAGCTTCATTACCATGCTGAGTTAATCCGGGACGCCATTGATCAAACTCTCAATGTGGATATGATTCACACGACTGGTTAGTAGCCCCTGGTATTGTCTCTCTCTACTCAATACTACTTGAGTCTGTATATCACTTCAACAGCATCCACAGACAAACATTGTAACCACAGATAAGGCCATTGTAATTGTTGTAGTTCCAGTTTTAAAGTTATGTTCATGTTAGACTGTACAGTGAAAGACAAAAGTCGTGTTGTGAAATTTGGTGAAAACATATGCTTAAGGGCTAAACTTTTAGTGCACTCTGCCCTGTGGTAGGGGGCTCTCATAATGTTTCACGAAATATATTTAATCTTCGGACAAAACCGCAACACGACTTTTGTCTTTGATTGTACACTTGTGGTCATCTGGATTGAGTGGTTCGTCTAAGTAGCCCTAGGCCAGCGGTGTCCTCATAAGCAAGACACTTCACCACTCCAGCAGGTTATAGTGATTACAGTATGGTTTGGGAAAGAACATTGCGGTAACATTTATTTTATATGTTCTTAGGATTATAAGTTTCAGTTCATCATTTTACTGGTGAAGAAACAGGATAATATTGTAATTTTACTTGAGAGTGAAGACTATTGTTGTTTGTACAGTACAGGAACATAGTTAGGTTGATGAAGAAGTGATGACACTGTACGGTGGAGTCTCAATAATTCCCCAAATACAGATTCACGTTCTTATATTCTCGGGCACCTTTATTACTACCTCTTTTTTTTTTATCTCTCTTTTTTTAATAAAAGTTGTGTAAATATAATTTAAATGCTTTAATGTGATTAATAAATAAAGAAAATAGAAAATTATAAAATATAATAAATGAAGAGTGGGAACTGAATTCTGTGTGGGAGAAGCAGGCAGCAGGGGGTGGCTCTGTCATCCCTGCAACCCTGTTAAAATGACAGTATGCAATTTCGTCATAATTCCCATATTATTTAGCTTCATTTGGTGGCGGGTTAATAAAATATCATTGTAAATTAAAATATATTATAAAAAAATTCTACGCTCAACCAGAAATGAGTGACAGGTATACCCCGATAACCAGTGCATAAAGGGACTGTGAAAAGTCGTTGGTCAGTAAATCAACAGTTATTGAAGCATTTAATCCCATCTACCCTTGAAATATCTCTGTTTTCCACACTGTCAAGCAAGAAAATAAAGCAGACATATAAAGCAAGCATAATAAGCCTTAAATAAGGAATGTAAAGCATAAATTGACTGTGATTTACCTGTGTTGAAGATGGTAGAGATGAACAACGGTGGCAAGTTCAAGTTGCTGGTCCATCATCACTCTTATTACACCTTTTCACATCACATCAAGCTGTCCCTCTTAGGTGAGCACAAGATGAACTATCACTGAGGCTTTAGGCATGATTGCATAACATATGAAATCGAAGACATAGAGAGGCAGGAACGAGTTGGAGGCAGTGCGTAGACCGGGCGTAGAGCTCTCTGGTGGCGAGAATTCACACACCGTCCGCCAAATTCAAAATGGCTCTGCGACTCCTCCCTCAATCATTGGATCTCCTGGGTGTCAATGAAACTTATGGGGTATTTTCCCAATATGCAATCGTCGGTTATGCGAATTCGCGGTTAATAGGACGTCAGTTTTTGGTGTATACTTGTACTGAGTCGTATTGAATTCCTGGTGCTTTGTTTACATAGGCTACCAGCTGACCAATCAGCCAGCCACAGCACCTGCCTGTCTCCATGTTGATGTAATGCTGTAACCTGGAGGATGATAATGATCTACCTTTTGTACAACATCTGTGTGTCAATGTATTTTTTTATGTATTATGTATGATATTTAGTGTATTTTATTGACATCATTTAAACTATAATTAGGGAATTGGTAATAGGTGATGTCCTCTGGTACCTAACCTGTGAATTATCATGACTCCACTGTACAGTATCAGTTATGTCATCAATAAGCTTATTTTTTTATTAATATTTTTCAATGTTTCAATATGAAATACATATTTTTGTAATATTTGTTTAAAAGAACTTGTTGTTTGTTGTGTACACAGATTTAGGCGGACAAGCAACTAGTCTGGATGTTGTTCAGAACATTATTCAGGTGATCCAGGCCAGCACCAAGGAGAACAAGTGGTAACGTTAACTCCTACCTTTACTTCTGTTGCTCTTGCCAGCTTGTAAGTGTATAGTACACCCTTTCATTACTGTTTTGCCATTTTCTATATTTTACCATAATTATTTAAATTTTTCATACTGTATATTGAATTAATTGTAGTGTACAATATTTCTTTGAATAGTTTCTTCATGGAATAGATTTTATTTAATAGTTGTTGCATGGACAAAGGTGAAGAATGTGGTTTATGAGTTATTATTAATTGTAAAGCTGAAAGTAATGGTTGTTTCTAAATTGGAAATAAATCCTATCATAAAAATTATAGTAAGCAACAAGGAACTTAAACAAGTAGAAAATTTTGTGTTTGGGAAGTAAGATTAACTGTGATGCGAGATGTGAGAAAGAAATCATACCAAGATTAGGCCAAGTAAAAACAGTATTTAATAATCTAAAAGAATTTATAAAAAGGGACATTAACTTCAATTTGAGAAAAGGGCTGCTGAAATGCTATGTATGTTAAGACTGTTGTATGGGTCAGAAGCTTAGACAACTTTCAGCAGACACCAGGAAAAGTTTAGAGGCCTTTGAAATCTGGTGTTTTAGGTGAATGTTAAGAATTTGTTACACTGACAGGATAACAAATGAAGAAGTATTAAGGTTGGCAAAAACTTCAAGAGAAATGCTTGATTTTTGTAGAATAAGGAAAATTAGATACTTTGGTCATAAAATTTGGGATGAGGGGATAACAACAGAAAAAATAATGGGCAAAGTTGAGGGTAGGAGTGCCAGGGGAAGGTAGAGACTGAGATGGATGAATAAAATTAAAAACTGGGCCCCCTTAGAGGATTGGTAAAAACAGCCTGAGAACATTTAGAGTGGAGGACTATGGTTGCCAACCCTCAGATATGAGGACAGTACTCTGATTGATTCTTATTGTTTGTTCCCTGTATGACTGTGCTGTGAAAGGTTAGGTTAGGATAAGTGCTGTCAAAAAAAGTGAGGAAGGAGATAGAAGAGAGGGGCGAAGGGTGCAGCAGCTGTGAGGGGAAGACCGTGCAGGAAGCAGTAGACTACAGTACATGGTTGATAAGAGACTAGTACTGTACAGTATGGTATGAGGGATGTTACTCTGTTGCTCTAGTAGGGGACAGGTGCAGTACAATAAAACAATGTAACAAGTAATAAAATATCTTTATACAAATATTGCACAGTTACAGAACAGTTAACAATGATCACTACCAGTAGCTAAGACTTAAATATTGTCTTGATATAAATGCTCCTCTTTGGGTTAATGTTAAAAGGTTGAAATGCTTTATGAAAACTATATGTAATAATATATTCTGCACCACCAATAGCAGACGTTTTAGTCCTGCTATGATAATATTTAGTTAGTACACTGTACCTGCTTGCCATATATCTAAGGCATCATCAAATTTCTGGCATAAGTACAATACATACAGTACTTTACCATTGCAGAAATACACTCGGCAATATGTCATTTTTTCACTCGGGCAAGTCTCTACCCCACTATGATGACCAGATTTAGAACCAACACACACACACACACCTCTCTCTTTCTTCATGTTAACTCATTCCTAGTACTTGATGTTTCCCCCCCACAGTCTCACTTCCTTCCCCATCACTCCCTCTCACAGTTAAGTCCCTCACCATTATTACTCTACCACCAGTTAAAGTTTTTAATATTGTTATTCAGGTCTTCCCCAACAGTTTATTCTTTCCTCCTCCTTTTTCTCACTCCCGGCCCTAATGACCCAGGCGTTGACGGTCAGTAAAGTGAACCATCTTGCTCCCTGGATAACTTGTCCCACCTACCTCACTTGCTTTAAAGTTCACAATATCCTGGGACTGACCAACCCCCATGTGGCATTATAAGTTTTTTATCTACAGAATTACATGTATGGATTCACAACCCTCTCTAAATAACATGGTGCCTTTTTTACAACTTTAATCTCATTTTTTATCTTACATATATCAAAGCCAGAACAAGTAGGACTTCACAGTTTTATTGTAGTGAGTTTTACTTTATTTCTAAATAGATCATTCGTAGACAAAAATGTTGTTGAACGAGGAAGACATCTTAAATTGGGTTTGTGTACTTAATCTCCTAGAAACACAGAGGACTTTAAAACCCAACAAGATTTGAATCTGCCCAGATGATTGTCACAATGTTGAGGAGAGATACAGTACACTTATGTCAAAGAGAATAAATGCGAAATGTCAGTGGGTCCTGACTTTGGGTAACCATGTCTGTCTCTGTATTCTTATATCTTTCTGTCCTTATGTTCCTGTAATGACCAGTTCAGTACAATACAATACAGTACACTACACTTCACTACACTACAATACAGTACACTACACTACAGTATATCATTACACACAGTACAGTATACAGAAAGATTTTTTGGGGAATAACATTTACGTAACAGCATCCTCTTTCCATGTGTGTTGAATTAGTTCATAGTCTTGAAAGAGATTAGGTGACACACTGTTGACTAAGCCTTTGCCGTCCCAGGACACTGGTTCGGCATCCATTGCTGGATCATCTTGACTTGTCACCTTCCACCACATTTCACTTTGTGTGTTGTGTTGTGCTACAGGGAAAGAGAAATCGCTTATTTTATTTTTATAATTATTATTCACCTACACACATAGACACACACATCCTTAATAGTATCCCAGAAGGATTTTATTCATGTGTGCAGATATACAGTAATTAATAATATATACAGTAGTACAGTGACCCCTCGGTTAACGAACTCAATCCGTTCCAGAAGGTCGTTCGTTAACCGAAAAGTTCGTTAACCGAAACCATTGTTTCAATGGGTTTTTGGGTAATTGGTTCCAGCTCACCGAAAATTTCCTAAATTCAACAAAAATGGTAGAAAAGTTCACTTACTTTGAGGTGTGTATGTAGAAGGCTCCTGGATGATGATGATGATGATGGGAATTAGAATGGGGGTGGAGGAGAAGGAAGAAGAAAAGGCATTGGGGTGGAAGAGAAGTCACCCCATGGCACCATTTCATCCATAAAATTTTAGTTCTCTTGGTGTATTTCAAGATCATTTTCTTTAAATCAACACTGCACTGCATTATATATTGTCAATATGTAAAATATATTTCAAAATGACCAATAATTTGCTTGGAAACAGAAAAAAAGCGTTTAGTTGAAGAGTCTCAAGCAAGATGTTACCTCCACTGAAAACAGAGAGAGACTAACGCCTGTCTGGTGTGTTAACAGGCTGGATGGCACGCCAGAAACTAGTTTCTTTACCTTCAATTATGTTTAATAATTGTTAAAATGACTAAAAAAGTTAATATTAAACTTTTAAAATTATTGAATAGTATAAACTTCTTGATATTTACTAAAATAGTTAGGAATTTAAGCCCTAGAACCGATTAATGTATTGGCGGACTGATACTAAAGCTGGTTGCCCGGCCAGTGCAAGCGAAAACATGTTGAGGTCGGTTCGTAAGAAATTCGTTAACCGAATTGAAGATCCTTATGGAAGGCAGTTCGTTAACCGAAATTTCGTTAACCGAGGCGTTCGTTAAACGAGGGGTCACTGTATATGTATCTTGTACTTTAGTTAATAAGTTATTTATTGTTGCAACTGACTGTTGAGTAATATATGTTCATTCAGCAGTACAGCACACCTGAAGATACTGTGTAGCATCAGAAGAAGATTTTGAACATTTGAATGTAAGGCATGCAATGGTCTTATGGGAAGCACTGCCTTGTGTGAGGTGTGCAGTAGTTTATTGAGATTCAGAGAGTTTGACTGATGGATGAAGTACTGTATGTTCGAGAATTAATGGTGTGATGTGCTACAACTTAGAGAATGTGTTAGCATTGAATGAAAATGACTTAATGATATCTTCCGTATACAGATGATGATGTGCTACTGAGTGAGTCTGATGCGGAGTGGGAAGGAACGGATGTATATTCTGATGTTTATGGGAAAGTTGATGTTAATGGTTAATGCTGGAAGGAGTAAAGGGCAGTCTTAGTGTAACATCACCAGGAAGGGAGAAAAATAAGTTGGCACTAAATTTTGATGTTTGGAGCCAATGTTCAACAAAGATGGCAATGGTAAAGTCTCGTAAGCATTAACCCCTTGTGTATAGGGTCCCTTCTGTGCTAAATAAAATCATATGGCATTAGGCAAATAAAACATAAAAGTGGCATCCCCATAATGAAGGGGTTAGGAGAGATTAACCATTCAATTTATTGGTGTCATGAAGTCCATGTTAGTGTTCTCTGGTTTTGGTTACTGTACTTTCTCTTTATCTCTCTCTGACACAATTCCTGCACCAGTTTCGGTATAAGGTTTGTGGTGTCCTTGATCCTCTACTAGCATGGTGGGTGAGGGAAGGACAATATAGTAGATAGATGCATAAGACTGTAGCTGCATGGGTGTCGGCAGTGTTTAGAATACCTGTAGCAGTAAATTTTAGTACCATATCGGTAAGTGTTTATGAAAGTTAACTCAAATATAAGTGAAAACTACAATATGTAAGAACCATTTTTTCATGTTATTAATTGGTTCATGTTAAGCCATTTTATGTCAGGATTTGTGTGACAGCAAATATTGTATCTCTTAGTCATAACGTCTAACCCAACCTTTGTTCAAATAGCCATAATTTTTTTCTTGGTTTGCTTATAGACTGACCTTGATGCATCACTAAACAGTTACCATAAGTACTGTACTTGATAATGTCAGTCATCTCCCAGAAATATTCACCAAACTAATCTGCTGTTTATTATGTATTTGTTTATCATTTCAAAACTTATCAGCTTACTGGGCATTTGGGCAGTTAGTGTGTTGTTTGATACTCTATTATAACCTCTGTTGTCCAGTGTTGGTACAGGAGGTGACTAAGAGTACCTGTCAAAACCTGTCACGTTTGGGAGTGGGGGTCACACTTGATGACACTCTTCTGACGTCTGTTCGAGGCTGGAGATTGAACCCTGGACACAGTAGTGAGTGATAAATAAAATTTTAAGATAGATATATACAGTAACTCATATGTACTGTAATGGCCACACAAAAGTAGAAAAAAAAAAAGATTATATTGACATGTGGGAGAGAGTAGGTGGAGGAGAGTGCGGGAGATGGTGTAGGAGGGAGTGAGGGAGGTGGTGTAGGAGAATGAGGGGGATGGTGTGGGAGGGCATAAAGAAAGTGGGAGAGAGTGAGGTCCTGGAAGGTAAGTGGCAGTATATGTCTGCTTAGTTACAAACATAGGACAGGCAGAGTGTACAGTACATTTATCACCCATGATGCACTTTACTATCACAATACCTCGGCAAATACACACACTGGCAGTTGTACATAAGATGAGGAAAACTGCTTTACGTTGAATACTTCAGAGATTTCATGGTCTGTGGACATTTATGCCTTAACAGCAAAAGGGTTATTTCAGCTTAGAACACACAATAGTTGACATAATATACCTGTGCGATGTGGAACCTTGCTGTGTGATGTTAATATATGCTCTTCTTCCAACACCCACTTCTTAAAATCTTCGTTGTCTTTATACTCGCTGCTTCCACTGTCTAACTGGTTGTTGTGGAGGTCCATTTGTTGGGCCCAGGTTAGGTCATTCAGGAGTCCATCATCAGTTTCAACACTATGTACCAAGAGACTCAGCAGTGTGTAGAGACAGAGAGATAGTCCCTGGGGTTTAGCTTTTATCATTATTCTCTGGAATTTGTATAAATAGTCTTGGGTAAAGTTTTATGTTAGATTTTGAGATTCAGTGAACATAATTTAATTCTATTACAGCTTCTCATTATCACCAAGTCCTTGTAAACTATTCTTTATGGAAAAAACCCACAAAATTTGCTGCACAAATTTAAAAAAAAATTACTCTCTTCACCCATCAACACTTTTCATTTGTCTCTTTTTTTCTTAAAACAGCAAATATGCTTTAGCTAAAAAAATAATGTTGGTGGAGAACTAGAGTAAAGTACTGTATACTTTTAGAATAAGATTGGGAGACATCTGAAATTATCTGTGTGTACAATTTTTTAATGTTCAAGGTTGTCACCATGCATACCGGCCATAACATATGGTACAGTCTCGTTCAAGAATCTTCGAACATTGCTGGAGACAGCTGGCAACTCAAGGCCGTTTGTTTACTATAGTACGTAGTAAAAATTATGAATAAATGTAAGTGATCGGTGATTGGTTACTTAGTTAACCATTGCTTAATTTAATGGTTGGGCTTTGTTGTTTCGTATTATATTATACTACGTACTATAGTAAACAAACGGCCTTGAGTTGCCAGCTGTCTCCAGCAGTGTTCGAAGAATCTTGAACAAGACTGTACCTATGAATTTTTTGGGCGATATAAAATTTCACTTTTACAGTGGTTTCTTCATCACTAGTTGCAGTTTTTGTATATGGCATCATTACTGGAGTAAATTAGAGACTACAGTTGGACTTTATCTGTACTTCATGAAGGAGCACCTTTTTGAGCAAGTTAGCCAATCTATGATATGATCATCCCATGGAACAAGCAGTCATTGTTTGTAAAGTTCACTTCTAGGATGTCAGCAAATGGCAAGCAGCAATTGGCATCGCTGAAAAGTGATCTGGAGCTCTTCTCACATCTGTACATAGCATGTCATATACAGGATGGACGGCTAGATGAATTCTTCAGCCACAAGAATCAAGCATGGCCACCATCACTGTCACAGGCTGGAGCACTGTACCTGGGTACTAAGAGTGATCTGATGGACTATCTTGAGGGCTTAATGGAGGCACATCCCCATAAACATAATGGGAGCTGTATAATCATTGATGGAGCTGTTGAAGCCAGCAACTGCAAAAACATTGATGAGTATGCACAGCAAGTGTTCATTCCTTACATGAAGGCTCAACTTCATAATGTGAAATGCCTTAACCTTGTATGGGACACATAATTCTCTCAAGGTTACTGCTAGGGATAAGTGTGGGAAAGGAATCAACAGGCTTTTGACTGGCTCTGAACCTTTACCCAGAAATTGGCAGATTTTCCTACGGGAAGCATGGAGATCTTTGATTTCCTGTCAAGATCGGTCATCAGTGCTCTTGAGCAACAGGACATGAAAGTCATTGCCACAGATGGGAAACAGGTCCTGCATCTTCCACCTTGAAATAATCTCCACTCACTGGTGTCATAAAGTCACGAAGAGGCAAACACTTGTTTACTCTCCATGCTACACAAGCATCCCAAAGTCAGCACCAGAAGATGCTGTAGACACAGCTGTGGTAGTCCTTGCCATTATGAGTGTCTGTCCAGTCAGAGTTCTGGGTTACCTTTGGCACAGGAAAGAAACACCTCTACCTTCCTGCACATGGCATGGCAGCTGCCCTTGGAAGAAAAAGAGTCACTTGCACTTCCAGTGTTTCACGCATTGACAGGCTGTGACACTGTCAGCTTTTGTGGGGCATGGCAAGAAAACTGGAATGCACTGCCTGAACTAACTGATGCTCTACTGTGCCTGACCTCTGTCCCTGATCAGCTTTCAAAAGATAGTGTCCATAACATTGAGAGGTTTGTCATACTTATGTATGACGGCACCAGCACATGTACCGATGTCAATGAAGCTAGAAGAAAATGTTCCCAAGTGAACTGCCTACCAAGGTGGACACACATGGGGTCAGGTACAGGTTGCAGCCTCACAACTTCCTTCACCTGTTAGTTGGCCCATGCTGGACAATGACTGCAGGTGGACTGTGTGAGCCAAACTGGACAACAATTCTGGAATCAGCAAAGGTCTGCTTTGAACTACAGTACTGAGCTGTGGATGCAAAAAGGGATGCTGTGGGCATTGCAAATGCCAGAAGGCAGCTCTAAAATGCTCTAGCCTGTGTTCATGTGAGGTAGAGTGCTCTCATAACTAGCATTGTTCTGTTACTAATGCATTAATTAGAAACTACATACAGTACTGTTACCAGTACAGTACAGTCCAGTACCTGTGTATACCAGCATGAAAATTCTTCCATCGTTATCTCATGATTGAATAATCAATTGTCAGCTCATCCCTATGTGTTTCATGTAGGATATTACTGTATGTTTAACTCATTCTCAGTCTACAATATATGACTCGGCATCACAGAGACTCATAGTACCGTCACTATTGATAAATAAAAACCAAACTATATGTGACAGTATCATAGCTGTTTCCTTTATAAGATTCTACAGCAGTTACCATAATTTTTCAGTGATTCTCTTGTACTGTACATTGTTTGAATCTTTGTGTTCTCTTGTGTGACTGATGGTAATGTTAACTTATCATTACAGTCTTCAACTGCCCATCCCCACATATGGAGGAATTCTCGGTGCCTCCCAGCCTTAAAGAGACTACTATACCCTGATATGTAGTTAATATGTTCCAAGTTTGGTGTTCTTATCACCAGATGAACAATTGGTTTGGCTAGCTGCCTTACTATTATGACATTTGCTTCCCAGACCAAATTTTTATTCTCAAGATCAAATCAATTGTTTTTCCAAGTTTATGAGATACACAGACACAGTTAATCAACATAAAACAAGTGAAGTGGGTTATTAAAGATATAACAGTTACGAGGCAGTTATTACAGGTAGTGAAGGTGTTACAGAGGAGGCTTAGTTAAGAGTGAGGGAGGAGGTGTGAGATGGAGGTAGTGTAGGAGAGTGGGAAGGAGTGAGGGAGGTGGTGGAGTAGGAAGGAGTGAGGGAGGAGGTGGTGTAGGAGAGAGTGGGGGGAGGTGGTGTAGGCGAGAGTGGGGGGAGGTGGTGTAGGAGAGAGAGGGGGAAGGTGGTGTAGGAGAGAGAGGGGGGAGGTGGTGTAGGAGAGAGAGGGGGGAGGAGGTATAAGAGGGAGTGATGGGGGAGGAAGTAATAATTTGTGACAATTATGATTGTGAGGAGTCTTTCTCTCTCTCTCTCTCTCTCATTCTTTATGCTCACCATCTTTCCGTCCTTTTCTCCCTTCCTTGCTTCAATCACCGTCCCTTCCTTTTTTTCATTCTCCTTTAGTTCCCTCTTTCATTCTTCCTCCCCTCATCAACATCTCCCCTCCTCCTATTCTAGTACTTTCCTTATGCTGGCCATACCGGTTCCTCTTGTCACAAAATTTGTCATATTTACTAATGCTACAACTACCAGTTCTCTCTGCATTTCTCAGTTCTTCAAGATCAGAGTTCATGATTCTGACTTGAATGTTTTTAAGTACAGCATTGGACAGGCCAAGGTCACGGTCAACATTTTCCTTGTCAATAAATTTGTTAACTGAACTGAACTTCCTCCTCCTTCTCTTCTTCCTACCCTTCTACCCTCCCTGGTGACCTTGATGCCCATGCCCCAGTGATGAAGGTTCCCTCTCCCTCCCTACGACACAGCCTCACCACTACAAGTTGAATAGAATCGTCAGTAAAATTCTTAAGTGCAACAATTGGGGTGACCGAGTTATGTACAGTACTGTAAGTAAGATGTCTTGTGTGCACAGCTCTCCAGTATACAGTACATCCTCTTGTTCATGTACACTCACACGAAGCAGATCTCTCCACCCATATACAGTATATATACACTGGAGAGTATCGGGGAGAAGATATGTGGGTGTGTGGGGAGAGGTAATTTAACGGATCACATGAAGATTAGACACCATCTTATTTCACCTGATGATCAACTACCCTATTATTACATGAGTTAAGTTGGTTATTGTTCGGAGCTTAATCATCAGGTGAAATAAGCTGGGGTGTCAAATCTTTAGGTGATCTTGTTTAACACTTACACCCAGACTAGTGAGGAGGGTTAAATACTTGCCATACACCCTACACTAAACACTTAAACGTATACAGTATAATGTGGTTAAGAGGTGTTTGTGTAGGTCACCACCACCATCTCACCTAACCTCCCCCTCCTTCACAGTATAAGAGACTGGGAGGAGGAGGAGGTTCAGATTTAAAAAATTGTCCCACGCAAGGTAGAGGCGAGAGGGTGTGTTGAGGTGGAGGGCTGTGTGGGTCACCGCCTCCAGAATGTGTGTGTGTGTTTAGTTGCCTCCCACCCACACGCCGCCGCCCGCCCCTCCTGCTAAGTTGTAACACAGTCGTGGAAGGTTTTCTTGTGTGCTGCTCGCGCTGTGCAGGTTTGATGGTGACGTAATAATTAAGAATAGTATCACTTCACTGTCATGTTGAGGAACACAGAGTTGTCGTACACAAACAAACACACACACACACTAAGGTTTTTATTATAGCAGTTTTCATGGGTCTGTTGTATTAAGTGGACTATCACTACGATAATTGTAGATGGTAAAAAGTTAGTTTATGACAACGTTTGTTATAGTTGATGAATGTTAGCAAATCGTTCACCTCGTGTTTCAACGTTCCGCCTGTGGTCATGTTCACCTTCACTCAGCACCGTGGTGGAGCAGCACACCCGCCTTCTTCACCGTCTACACAATCACTAGTGAGTAGTGAGGCTGAGGCGAGTGGAGAAGTTAACAACCCGCGCCACAAACTCCCTCCCACACACTATTCCCCCCCCCCTGGTCTTCGCCGCCGCCAGTCCATTTTTGTGTGTTAAACACTCCCTTTCTTTGTGTATATGTAATTGTTAGTGTTGCGTCAGTTCAACACGCTCGCTGCAATGGATAAAGGCACCTCCTGGATCAATTTACTAGCGAATGAACACCATATATTGATCGAATTGCCGTTTGCATTTTTATTAGAAAATATTCTCAACATCATCTTCCTCTATAAACAATGTCCGTAACTTTAAGTGAAACCCGTTTTAAATAGTAACAGATACAGACAGTATGTTGACACCGTCTACCCATCTGGTGGACTGGTACCTTGTTGTCGTGCCTAGACAATAGGTCGCTCATGTTATCGAGATGTTTAATTGGCTGACAGAGACGCAATATACATGCATGTAACTTTAAATCTGACACTTATTGTTTGACAGAATGAGATATTACACACACACACCGAAAATGTCTGAATGAATGTAAACACATTTACACACACACAGCCTTGCTTTCCGGTGAACACACATTTACACACACAACCTTGCTGCGGTGTACACATACAGCGGTGTTCTCAATGGTACACCGACATTTACACACACAGCCTTGTTCTCAGGTGTACACAGACATTTACACACAGCCTTGTTCTCAGGTGTACACACACAGCCTTGTTCTCAGGTGTACACACACAGCCTTGTTCTCAGGTGTACACACACAGCCTTGTTCTCAGGTGTACACACACAGCCTTGTTCTCAGGTGTACACACAGCCTTGTTCTCAGGTGTACACACACAGCCTTGTTCTCAGGTGTACACACACAGCCTTGTTCTCAGGTGTACACACACAGCCTTGTTCTCAGGTGTACACACACAGCCTTGTTCTCAGGTGTACACACACAGCCTTGTTCTCAGGTGTACACACACAGCCTTGTTCTCAGGTGTACACACACAGCCTTGTTCTCAGGTGTACACACATTTACACAGCCTTGTTCTCAGGTGTACACACACAGCCTTGTTCTCAGGTGTACACACACAGCCTTCATTCTCCAGGTGTACACACACACAGCCTTGTTCTCCAGGTGTACACACATTTACACACACAGCCTTGGTTCTCAGGTGTACACACATTTTACACAGCCTTGTTCTCAGGTGTACACACACATTTTACACACAGCCTTCTCCAGGTGTACACAGACATTTACACACACAGCCTTGTTCTCAGGTGTACACACACAGCCTTGTTCTCAGGTGTACACACATTTACACAGCCTTGTTCTCAGGTGTACACACACACATTTACACACACAGCCTTCTCAGGTGTACACAGACATTTACACACACAGCCCTTCTCAGGTGTACACACACATTTACACAGCCTTGTTCTCAGGTGTACACACACATTTACACAGCCTTGTTCTCGGGTGTAAACACACAGCCTTCTCAGGTGTACACACACATTTACACACAGCCTTGTTCTCAGGTGTACACACACATTTACACAGCCTTGTTCTCAGGTGTACACACACAGCTTTGCTCCAGTGTATACATACAGCCTTGCTCCAGTGTACACATACAGTCTTGCTCTCAGGTGTACATAGACATTTGCACACACAGCCTTGCTCCAGTGTACACATACAGCCTTGCTCCAGTGTACACATACAGCCTTGCTCCAGTGTACACATACAGCCTTGCTCTCAGGTGTACACAGACATTTAAACACACAGCCTTGCTCCAGTGTACACACACAGGCTTGCTCTCAGGTGTGCACAGACATTTACACACACAAAGCCTTGCTCCAGTGTACACATATACAGCCTTTTGCTCTCAGGTGTACACACACAGCCTTGCTCCAGTGTGCACATGCAGCCGTGCTCTCAGGTATACACAGACATTTACACACACAATTTTTTTCTGGTACACACAGTACCTTACAGGTTACTCTCAGGTATACACAGACATTTACACACACAGCCTTGCTCCAGTGTACACATACAGCCTTGCTCTCAGGTGTACATAGACATTTAAACACACAGTTTGCTCCAGTGTACACACACAGCCTTGCTCCAGTGTACACATACAGCCTTGCTCTCAGGTGTACATAGACATATACACACACAGCCTTGCCCCAGTGTACACATACGGGCCTTGCTCCAGTGTACACATACAGCCTTGCTCTCAGGTGTACATAGACATATACACACACAGCCTTGCCCCAGTGTACACATACGGCCTTGCTCCAGTGTACACATACAGCCTTGCTCCAGTGTATACACAGTCTTGCTCTCAGGTGTACACAGACATTTACACACACAGCCTTGCTCCAGTGTACACATACAGCCTTGCTCTCAGGTATGCACAGATATTTACACATACAGCCTTACTCTCAGGTATACACAGACATTTACACACACAGCCTTGCTCCAATGTACACATACAGCCTTGTTCTCAGGTGTACACAGACATTTACCCACACAGCCTTGCTCTCATGTGTACACAGACATTTACATACACAGCCTTGTTCTCAGGTATACTGTACACAGACATCTACACACAGTCATGCAGTATACAGACAGCCTCAACTATACAGACATTTACACACACACCCAGACTTGCTCTCGGATATACACAAATGGTGACTAAGGATGCCATATATTTTGTGGTGTATTTATTTTGATAAGAAAGTGTATCTTGTCTCTGCTTATTCAGTAAGCCAGATGTATGGTAATGGGTCTCACTGAGCTATTGGGAATACTGTACAATACAGTACATAGGATTAACAAAAATTATGGATCTATTTAAATAATACTAATAAATTGTTTAAACGATAAGTCTTTTGGGTGAACTCACTGATGACAATTGCCGAGAGCTGTTTCCTTAAATGTCAGGCAAGACTTGAGGCGGTGGCACACTGGGCACTTTCCGCTAAACATGTTGCCCGTTGGCCTGACGGCCCAGCAAGCAGCAGGATCTCTGCTGTTGCGAGAAATGGCCAACAGTTTGGCGGGGATCTTTGCTGGCCTGATTAGTGCTCAAATGAGCTTCAAGATGGATGTACTGTGGGTTTAATACTATAAGGGTTAATATAATGTGTACTGTAATTTATTCACTATAATTTGTGCAGTGTTTTGTTCTTTGTGTTTTACGATTGAAATTAAGACAATGAACCTTATGAAAGCAAGATAATGAAGTATAATGATCAAATATTAGTTCTGTTTCATTAACTTTGTTCAGGTGTTTCCTCTAATACAGTACATCCCTTCACTTTATACTTGTTAATGTGTTACAAGTGTTGTGTGAAGGAGTCATGAGCCATTAAGCACGTAGGACAATGTGTGTATGTGTGGTCCACTGATTGTTCCTGTCTTCTTAAACCAGCCTTGTGATGTGAATATACTGTAGTTACCTGTATGCAATAGGTGTGCAGTGCATACAGCATGCCTCTTATCCCAAGAGCTGTTGGTTCATCCCAGTCCTCTCACCCATAAATGGGTATCTAACTTTATAAGCTGCAGAAATTAAGGTGTTGAGCGCAGTGCCGGCCATGCTGCACACTGATGGCTTATTATGGTGTGCTGTATCCAATTTGGTGTGTTGCAGGAAGACCTCAGCAGAGATGAGTGTGTTCCATACTTTGGGAGACATTCTTGAAGTAATTTATTCATTGCATACCAATTTAGTTTTGGTTCAAGTGCTGGATAATTTCCAGTTCAAGCAGATTAACTTACAAAGTTTCTATACATGAAGGAAAATGCTTACTTGGTAATAAAACAACCTCTTTTAACATGTGATGTTAAAATCTTGGTGGCAGTAACTCAGTAATGTCGTATTACTAGTGTACCCATCTTCCACACTCATTGCGCAATACTAATGAGCAATGAGTGTGGAAGATGGGTACACGAGTGCAGGACGTTGCTAACTTTAGGTGTACTGAATGTGCAACTAATTATGTGACCATAGCAAGGCTAGAGAAATTCAACATGGGGCAGTGTCCCTGGACTGTGTTGGGTTCTGTTGCCTGGGTGACATGATCAGTGCTGGTTGGGGGTGCTGGAGGCTGCTCAGTTGCAAGAGTCAAAGTGGCTGGAGGAAGTTTAGGGAATTGTTGCCTTTATTGACGGCAAGAGGATCTTCCCTCCGAGTGAAAGGAAGAATGTATTTAGCTGGTGTGAGAAGTGTGATGTTGTATGGTACTGAAACACGGGAAGTTAAAGAGATGACATAAGTAGACGCGAGTTAGCTGAAATGAGAATGTCGAGTTGGATGTGTAATGTGACCCTGAAAGACAGGAGGCCCTTTTAGAGCTAAGAGGAGAGCTGGGTATGGAGAGTACAATATTGGCAAAGTTCTGCTTAGAGGCAGACTGTGGTGATTTGGGCCTGTGTAAAGAATGGATGAGACCAATGGGGTCAGAAGGCGAGTCCGCTGGCAGGGTACTCGGTAGTATTCTCGTATATGCATGAAAATATAAAATAATGGAGAACTTTGGCTGTGGCAGAGAACATAACCTCCTTATTCATTTATGTTGACCACTTGTAGGAAGGCAAACCCTGGCATAAATGAGGAAGACCTGTACTGTATACAGTACTGTACAGTATAGAGATTTTCTTTTCCTTGGTTAATGAATATGCTGACGATTTTGTTTGGTTTTTGTGGAAATTATTTTGTACAGTATATTTCCACCAAAAATCTGCAACTTGTAATTATTTTCATTGGCAGCTAGTCAACAGGAACTCTATTGTCTTCACATGTGCGGACAGTTGGCTTCTCTAATAATTAGTTATATGGTACGAGGTAATTAGTTCCCTACTCCTGACTGGGCAGAGCTAATTAGACTACTGCGAAGGACTGACCTTTGTTTGGAGAAGATGACAACTCTGTCTTTACATACTGTATACGTAAACTATTATCAGCTACACTCAACACTGACACAGCCTCAATGTGAACAAGATATAGCCTATTCCTTACCTCTACCTGCAAAGTATCTAACAGTTCCTGTTAGGAGAAAGGTTGATTTCAAGAAGGACTGAGGTTAAGATGGAGGTAAGGCTCCTTTTTACTGAATCTTATTAGTACAGTATTTCTTTTGAGATTGATTTTATTCCTGTCTTCTTTGTCACAGAGTAGAACACAGTCACGGAGATAATCGATGGCAGTCAAGAGCAGACTTCCCAGCTACCAGGACCTGTATGAACCTGAGCCACATCACCACCAGACTGCTGTACCAGGACATGTGCAAACCTGAGCCACAGCATAACAACCACTTAAATACCACAGTTTCTCATTTGTGGACTCGCTTGTCATATTGCTGTTGTTTATTTATGTCAGTGCCATTCCAGTTACACAGAAATATTCTGGGCACAGATTCTTAGTAACACAGCCATTGACAGTGAACGTCTGCTATCTACTTCATGGTCCCTCCAGCCAATGAGCACGGAATCCCTCTTCCTCAGTTCTCTTTTCTTGTGGCAGGATCTACACTCTGATATCGATTATAGTAATAAATAAAAAAAAAAAAAAAAAAAAAGCAATAAGTGGGTCTGAGCTTTGTTGTTTCAAGTCAACATTGCAACAACCCAGTACATTACTTCATGATGCACTACCTACCATCTGCAAATACAGTCCTTTTGCTTCAAAATGAATGCGGTATCTAAAAAAAAAAAAAAGTTATGCATTTGAAGTTAAAAAAATTTTAAACACCGTTTTCTCAGCTTTCAAATTTTGGCGCGAATAACTCAGAAGATGAGGGGCACCTCAATTGCAAGGTGGCTACAAAAAAAATTACCATTCTCGGGCTGACAGTGAAGTTTAGAAGGGAGTATGGAGAATGTAACAGTTGTGGTTCTGTATTGCAAAGATAGACAACAAGAGGGGCAAAATAGTGATATTTTAGATAGGCATAATGTCAGGAGAACCATGGAGGACTTAATGAGGTGTTTTTTCACATTGTGGGATGGTGGCTCAAGCTTCCAGACACATATGGTACACTCTTTAATGTAACTATTGTTATAGCCATTATTTTTATTCTGTCTCACTCTTTGTATGATTTTGTAAATAATGTATATGATACACATACTGTATACACAAAAAATATACGTTTGCTTATAAAATGTTGCAGTAGTAGCTTTGTGAATTTCACTTTCACAACACCAGAAACATAGCTGTGTTATATATACTGTTGACACAACCTAGAGATATCTGAACTGGCCTCATGAGAGCAATGGACAGCCTAACTGGTGTCAGCGAGAGGGGAGGGAAAACTCTGAAGTATTTCAGTTTATGGTTGGTTAACACGCCAGTTCCTACTTCACATAGGAAATACATTAATAGTTGTATGAAACTTAGGCAACAGCCTGGGTGATACTTAAGGCCCGTCCACACGCTGGAGCAGTGCCCGGTGGGCATGCGCTAAATGCCCGTTATCGGGCAAACCAGCAGAGCTGTTGAGCGAAATCATGGTCAGCCTGCCTGGTGGTTTGCTGCCAGATATGGAGCGACAACTCTGAGTACTGCAAATGTGATATGTATATGTTCCCTGCTTGGTCCAGATGTCCAGTGTATAACTAAATAAGCTTATGCAATGTACATTATTGGTGTAACAATAAACGGGAGATTGTTTATGTATTATGTAAAGAGGACATTCGTGTGTGTGTTCTTCGTTCCTGCCGCTCTCCTCACTCTAGTCCCATAGCTTCCTGTCTATGCATATCATAATTCTAACATTATTCAATGAATTTTTATGTACTACAAATCTCACCTGCAAGTAATCTTCCTTGAGTATTTCTTACATGGCTTGACAAGTTGCAGGTATTATGCGAGACAAACTTTGTTTTGATATCCTCGTTCTATACTGAAGTGACGTGTAGGTGCACCCAGTTGAAAGATATACGAGCGTTGCCTCTAGACGAGCCTTTGCCTTTTTTATATATGGTTCCACTTTCGCTAGAAGTTTGTAAAAGGTGTTGGGTCCATTCTCATGTAATTGGTGAAATCTTGCTCATGTCCATCTTGCAATTCACGTAAAATCGTGTCATGACTTCCCAATACTTTTCTTCGACCTAACCACTCTTTGCACCATTCCCTTTTCTGCATTTGGTTCTTCTTTTTGCACATAGCAGCAATTATTATAGTACACGTTATGCTCTTCTCTTTAACTGTCCGGCGATTATTCCTGCGACACACGATGATCGTACCGCACCCACCACTGCCGACCACCTATTTACTAGCTACCGGCGCCCTACTCTGACTGCCGCCAACCACCCCCGTGTGTACAACAACACAGGCTTAAAGCCCGCCGGGCACTGCTCGATTGTGTGGACGGGGCTTTATACAGTACTTTCATTTGTCTGTTTTCATGAATATTGGTTTTAAAGGAAATTTCAGTAAGCCCCCCCCCCACCACAAGGCTTCCAAACATGTTGTAAATAGTTGGGCCGCCCATGTAAATGTGAACATAAATAATTTAAATAAAAAGTCTCTCTCTTACTATCAGTATGTGGTTGGTAAAAAATGGACCTGAATAAATTTTACTGTTATCCATTTGTACTGTACTGGTGCAAATGTAGGTTTTGTATGATTGATGGGGTACTGGTTGCTTAAAATGCTATTCATTTTGAAAGCTTGTTGCATAATAAGTGTGGATTGGGCAACTACTGTTTTGTCAAGCTTGTGAAATGACCCCAAGAGTTCCCAGAAGGCTCCACTTGGTTGTAATCAGGAATCTAAATAACACTACAGAACAAACTGTACTACAGCTCTTATAATTATAAATAGGATCAAGTGTTCCTACATGAAGGACTCAACTGGTTACGACACATCACCCTTGAAACAAAATACAATGAGAGGCCGTCTAGTAAACACCCCATTAGCCAGAAATCTTCAATACCTGGAAGTGAGATCGACTTGAAATTTTTGCAGGAAAACTCTATCCATTCTATCTGTGAACAATTTTCCCAAGGTTGAAAATCAGTCGCATTTTCTGAGAGAAATCCGGAAAATCTCTCCAATGTTTATCCCAGGTTTGGGAACAGATTCAGAGGATGAAATAATGCTTAATCCTGGAAAATCTCGAGAACTCTCCAAATTTTTTTTTCGGGTTTTGGAACAAATTCTAGAGTGATGAAAGATTGCTTATGCTCCCGGGTCCTCACGTACTGGGTGTGTGGCTGAGAAGACCACTTGGGTAACATATGAATGGCTAATCCTTTCATATGATTGCATGGGATGCCTGTGATAGGCTGATGCATCTCCCAGATTACCCCCCCCCCCCCAAAAAAAAACAGCATCAGGGCACAGTTCATTGTCACCAGCCATTCAACAAGGTTGATATCTCGCTTGCCCCTGTTGACCCGTAAACTTCCATTATATATTACTGTACCAGGGCAGTCAAGTCACGAATACAGTATGAAGACATAAACATTAACTCCAGTGTGTAATGTTACTGTAGATTAACATTGTGTGAATACCGTAAACACTTTACCGCGCAAAGCACTGGACAGTGTTTGTGTACCGTACATTACTGTATCGGAACACAAAGAGCAAAGAATAGTGCTAAAACGTAAAAAGAGAATTACTGTAGTTGGAGATAGAATTAGAACGGATGCTGTGAATAAAACTTTTTACACTTTTTAGCCAGCTATGAATATTTTTGCTTGTGCCTACAGTCTAAATGTAATGGAAGACTGTTTGTCTGGGAGATGAGGTGAGTAGCTTATGCTCTCTTAGAATCTCGGAAAATTTTTCCAGCACCCATAAACATTCCAGGGATGTGGGCTAGTGCCTGTATGCCTGCAAGATGTGTAGTTTAGACTCAAGAAACTTTTCCCAATACTGTACAGTACCGGTTAAAATTCCGGGATGCAGGATTTTTCCGGGTCTGAGAGAGTCGTCTCGTTACCCGGAAATCTCTCAACCCCAGAAGAGCTCTGCACCAATTGGTCCGGCTAACGGGGATATCACCGTATTGTATTTACGGACTTACCGGAAGCACCATGAGACGCTTCACAGTTCTTTTACCAGGTCAAAGAAGCAATCAAGTATGGTATTTCAGAAAAGTTTCAAACTTCCATGAAACATGTGACTGAAGGGAAGAGAGGTCTCACTACAACAATGACCATCACCCATTATCAACAATAAACAAACTTTACAGTATAAAAAACAAACTAAACCCCAAATAGAGAATACAGTCACTCCAGAGAATCTTACTTCTTTCATATCCCAACAACATTATATAATATCTCTACTCTGCCTTGGAAGGTCACCGGAACAGTAATTACAATACAGTACTGTAGTCAAATAATATAGGGGGAGTTAAGAGTACTGTTCATGCATTTCACATTAACATAAGAATGTAAAGTAGAACTACAGTACAGGTACCATATTGTGTTTATAAGAGTCCACGAATGGAGGGAAATGAAACGTTGATTTGTCGATATTTTCTTTAAAATGTAATATCGTGCAAAAATGGCCGATTATCATCTTTAACCTCGGGCACAGCTGGCTGCCAAGGATATATCCGGCTTTATCGAATCATTTCATCAGTTCCATGTCATCTTTACATTTGAAGAATATCTTCATATATTCTTGATTAAAACAACAACCATGAACAAGATGCAGCATTTATACAGATCAAGAACGTGAAAGCCGGAGAAAGTATATGTTACAGTACAACCTCTGAGAAGACCTACAGTACAGCATTCACATATTACAGTGACCAGAGTCCTGTACTGTACTGAGATTTGTCCTTCCCTTACTATATTATTCCTTATACTTAGCTTACTACTATTTTATAAGAACACTGTAGTTATCTTTATGTACAGTATGGTTGTACATGTATACTGTACTGTACCTTGTAAATTACTTCAGAATGATATATTCTCCTTCATTTAGTCTTCATTGTGACAGTGGTCTGTGGGCTATCGAGCAGGTGTATCTATAATGCCTGTAGAGTACAGTTTTGTACAGTATTATAGTATTTAATATTAGCTCAAAACTGAAAGGATACAGTGAACCCTCACTTTACGCGGTTAATTGAACCCACAGCGGCCCGCGTAAAGTGAGAAATGCGTAAAGTGAACAACATAACATATGGGATTAATTGAAATAGAGACCGGGCCGACCCCCAAACTCCACTTTTTCCCGACACAATACGTACGTTTTACTAAAAATAACATCTTAACTTTATGATGGTATTCACACACACATAATATAAAAGGGAACAATCAATAAGAGAATAATAAACTGAAGGTTAGGTTAGAAAAAACAAGGTTGGGGTTAACACTTACGTTAGTAGAAGAATGGAAGCTGGTTCCGAGGCAGAGGGCAGGCTACTGGCCCTCAGGTGAGCCTTCATCGGTGTCATCCACACTTACTAGTGCCTCCCTGACAAATCCCTCAAAGTCATCATCACTGTCTCTGTCACTATCACTGGCTTGGGCTGGCTGTGGTGGGTTGCGGGCGAAGAACTCTGTTATGCTTTGCTGACGGCTGGTGTTTATGTTGTCGTGATAAACCTTGTTGTAGGGCTCCATAGTCTGCAACAGCTGGGTAGTGAAGATTTCATACCTGTTAGCGTCAGGGTCGTCGGAAATGAGGAGCTTGACCTTCTCAATACACTCGATGGCACCCCTTACATGACTATGGGATAAGCGGCGTTCTTCTTGGGATGACGCACCACCTGCCTCTTCACTGACGTCATCATCATCATCATCATCTACCATCTCGTCGGTAGTCACATCAGGATCCCTTTTCACCTCCAGGATGTCGTCGTTGGTGGTCTTGGAGAAGCCTGCAGCTGTAACACTGCGCAGCTTCTCTGGCAAGGTCCATTGCTACTGCAACAGTCTGAACCTCACCAGTCACAGATTTACTCTGCCTAACACCCGGAATGCCTTGCAACACATGTCTCCATGCGTGACAAACAGTTGCTACAGACAGCTGAACCCATGCCTCCACCAAGAAGTCCACAGCTTTCTTGACGTTGAATGTTCTCCAGAATTGTTTCAAAAGTACTTCTTGCTCTGCCAACTGTTGATCCTCGTCGTCTTCGCTCTTGCTATCGCTGTTGGTGTCACTCAGGTTACGCAACTCTTCCTTGGTGTTGGTGTAGTCGTTCAGGAGCTTGAATTTTTTAGCAGAGAATGCAGCTTTTACATTACAGATCAATTCTTGGTCCATGGGCTGTATTATAGACGTAGTGTTGGGAGGAAGGAAGACCACTTTTACGTTGGGGTCACGATCTAACAGTAGGGGCGAGTGTCCTGGTGCGTTGTCAAGCGGCAACAAAATCTTGAATGGCACATTCTGTTGCTCACAGAATTTCTTCACATCGGGAACGAAACTGTCATCAAACCAGGAGAGGGACAGTGTAGAGATCATCCACGCCTTAAGTGCGGTCAGCCAGTGGACATTTAGCTTGGTCATGTCCATGCTCTTGTAGGCGTGTGGCTTGCGTGCTGTTTGGATCACCGATAACTTGAGCTTACAGATACCGGAGGCATTGGTGGTAAACAGGACGGTGATGCGCTCCTTCTGCAACTTCCGGCCCCGACACTTGCTGGCATTCTTCACAACGAAGGTCTTGGAAGGTAGCTTTTTCCAAAAAAGACCAGATTCGTCCATGTTAAACACCTGGTCGTCGGTGTACTGTCCTTCCTCCATAATCTCACGTAAAAACAGAGGAAATTCCCTAGCCGCAACACGGTCAGCACTAGCTTCACCGCCAATGTTGATAGTGGTGATCTTGTTCCTCTTCTTAAACCTCTGTAACCACCCAGAGGAAGCATTAAAGGGTTTGGGCTCTGTAATTCCCATCTTTCGTGACACTGCAGCATACAGTTCACGTGCGTACTCCTTAACTGAGCGCGTGTCCACCGCCATGTTCCGTCGCGCCTGACGCACCAAGTAGCTCACAAGTAATTTTTCGGTCTTGAGAAGCACCTGGTTGTGGAAATACTTGATCATAGAAGCACCTGTAGACTTTGTGATGTTCATGTGCTCCTTTATCTTGGCTGCATCCTTCTTAATTGTCCCGATAGTTGATTCGTTAACACCATGCTGGCGCGCGAGATCAACCTGTCTTGTTCCTTTCTCCAACTCTTGTATGATCTTATATTTGATTTCGTAGCTTAAGGAACGTCGTGTCTTCTTTGGCTTAGGGCGGCTGAGTCCAGGTAATGCAAGGTTTCTTTGTGGTGGTCCGGTGGAAGCCATTCTTATGGAACAATGGATACCGATATACACGGTGTAGCCGGGAAGGGGTGTAACTGACGCGGTAGGTCAAGGGGCTTGAACGCTCCCGCGGCGGGGCACGTCATAGTACTACATTAAACCAATCACAGCTAGCAGGAAGGGAGGTAAGGATGCTTTGCCCAATCATAGTCCGCTACGTCATATGACGTCACCGATAACGCAACAAAACCATGCACTGCGCAACCTACTCGCGCCGTTTACACAACATGGCGGATGGTGGGAGAGGGCGGGAGAGATGGCAGGAGGTTTGGATCCAAAAATGGCGCGGCGCGAGAGGACCGCCAGCCTCTCTCCGGGTAAAGGGGTACACGCACCGCGGAAAGTGAGCATTTTGGTTCGGCAGGGTACAGCGTAAACGTGGAAACGCGTAAAGCGAGGGTTGACTGTATACCACAGTAGTTCAACTCTATATTAATATGTATTGCTATACTGTGTATGTACAGTATTGTACTTCCTCTTATAGCTTAAAACTGTACACTGTTTATATTGATAGAACACCTTGTAGGCTAGGGATTTAACCATAACTTCTTTCTCATCTGTATATTCAAAGTAAGGACAAGGTTTAGTTTCTATGGATTTGGTTCACCAATATACCATATTTCATAGAGGTTAGTTCTGTAGTGCAGTCAAGTGACTGTCATTTCCCAGTGACTGGTGACCGAGAAAATCAGCTTAGTCCCGAGTCTTGTGTTACAGTGGCCAGGTCTCACTACACCACCACCAGGTAGTAGGCAGCTACCAAACAGGGAGGTACTAATGCCTGGTAAGATATTGGAAGCATAATGTATTGTCTAATGGTAGACCCTGCTGCCATATGGCATCACGAAAATTGTGACAAAGTCCCAGGTTGCTGATCTGACTTTCTGCCTCATTTTCACACAATTGCAGGGTCTCAATTGTTTCTCTTGCCATTGACAACACAACATACTGTACATTTTGTTTTTCACACTTGATCATTTTTTTTGGATATCTTTATGGTTCTTATTATTAAATTTTTGCCCCCCAGGCCCCGATGTGGGTCAGTGACCTGTGCCCGGGTGGGCTAATCCCCGTAAAAAAAAAAAAAGTAACACTACTAAACTTAACTTATGTAACTGAGTAAGAGCTGATCGTTCTTGTCTGTGGAATCCAGACCGTTTCTTCTCGACTTGGGTGCCCAAATGTTTAATTGCTTTACCACATTGTGTGGTATAGTTTATGTTGTTCAACTTTTTAAATAATAAAGTGAAGCACTATAAAACTACAGTGCACATACCACCCAGTTTCTTTAAATTCAAGTGAGTGAATGTACATAAACCCATTGTATACATACAGTTATTATGGAAGGTGTAGATAAAGGTCTTCTTATACCAAAATTATTCCTTATCTTGAATATAAAGACAATAATCACTTCAGTACAGACACAGGGTACAGTACATCTATATAGAGCAGAAAATACAACGGTAACCATTAAATGTTTAAAATAATGAGGACCTTCGGTTTATATTATTATTCAAACTTGTTCAATGTTGATTCTGCAATAATTCTCAAAAATACAAATAAGATTCCAGTATAAAGTTGTACTTAAGTCAAATTCTGAACTATTCCTACATGTACAGCAAATTCCTAAACTCTGAACCTGACAATTGCTACTATGAATGGCACCTTGTTTATAAATCAATAGCACTGTTCAACGTGCCAAGAAAATAATGTTTTGGCAGACTGCTCACCTTTACTGTAAATACCATTCACAAATCTACATGTAAGCAATCTATCATTACTGTACCTTATGAATTTTTTTTTCCAAATAAAAGCTATGTGTTACTAAACAGATTAAAGGACCACTCATCTGTGGGTTTGCAAGACCTATACTCAAGGGACTACCATTATTAGTGATCACTAAAGTGTACGTTGTTCAGACGCTGGTTGTCCTTTGGCAGAGTCACTCAGACACACCCACTGGCCCTCCAAGCTCTCCTTCCAAAGGCTGACCTTTTTTTTTTCAAAGGAGAAAAAGAGAGAAAACTTAGAACAATTGCTATAATTTTTCTCTGCAGTATAAATAAAACTACAGTACTGTATGTAGGAATTATATCATGAAAACAATAAATAAATAAACACCAGTGTAAGAGTAGATAATCCCATTGGGAGTGTCCACAAGTAACTGATTCACTCTTTGAAATATGGCCCCCCACTGTATCAAATACATTGCTGTAATTTCTGCACCTCCCACCTTTTCCTACTAATAATACTGAGTAACCCACACCACAACCACACACAGGCCCTCACTTCACATGCCACCATTCATTCCATCATACTGTTGCTATTATATTAACCTTCCCAAGACCCCAAATACCTCCTTTAACATGGTTCTCTCTCTCTCAAGACACCAGCTACTGTACTGTACTTCTCCCCCTACAGTTGTGATTCATTCCATCATTCACTGCTCTACTGACAACCTCTCCCAGAAATCTAAAACACCTCAGCCAAATTATAAAGTAAACCCTTTCAGACTGACAGTTCACTAACCTTATTGTCTCCACCAGATACAGCTAATATATTGCCAGTAACAGACCAGCTAACATGCCAGATGACATCATCAAAAGTGTTCAGTTCTCTTGGCTGCCAAACTCCCGTCACTCCATCATTCATCCAGATGATAACGCGGCGATCCTGCAATAAAATAAAAGCACATTAAACTTTTGTTAAATCCTGGACAACACAGGGCTGCATTCTCACTGGGAAATCCACAACAATGGGAACACTTAAAGCTAAACTTGTAGAAAAATTTCCACTACTCCTAACACCTTAATTTTGTCTTAGCTGGTGCTAAGTAAATGTATTTAAAGTACAGCTGGTGCACACTACCTATGGTGAATTAAAAGTCATCCATAATGATACAATACAAAAATTGCAAAATTCATTTGGCTAAGTCTACAATGGGATGGGCCTGTGGGGTTGCTCAGCTTCCAACAGAATTTCCAACACACATAGGCAGGGGTGGGACTTAACTTTTGACCTTAACATGTAACTATGTACAAACTACAAACCAGACCTTCCCAGTGACTTAAAAGAACATGGTATTTGTGTTATTACCTAAACAGCCAGGAGCCTTAGAGTGTACCCAGTTTAGAACAATCAGCTAAATAAGTCGTGCAGAAAAGTTTTATTCAATAGAATTTTAAGTACAAGTAGAATAAAATCTAAAAGAGACCAAATTATCTGAAGATCATATTGAACTTAGAAATGTAAGAGGAACAACTCTTGATCTCCCTGACCACACCCAACACCACATTTCACAACTTTTCAACCACTAAGTGAGATGTGTTTGTGATCAAGTCAAGCTATTGGTGCAGGTAGCTAGATGTACCTAGTGTATCTACAGTAATTTACTTTGATAGTTTTAATCTTATTTTTATTTTTTAGTGTTACTCTTTACATTGTCTACTGGACACACATTTGTCATTCATTCATTCTTAATGTATGTCTCTTGCTCTTCAGACAGAGGTTCAAATTATTCTTCTTGAAAGGTTTAAAATTTATATACTGCTTCAGAGGGAAAACTTTGGTGAGTGTCCTTGACCTGTCTGACTAGAGAATAAAGTTTTGTTTTCAGGAAGGTCTTACTAAGTCTCCTTATCATTCGACATTTCTTCCAGGGCCAAAAAAAGCCATTATACAATATGACACATGAACAGACAATCCTCTAATAAAACTCAAGAATATTTCTCTACCAAAAATTACACTTCGTATATACAGTGACCCCTCGTTTAACGAACGCCTCGGTTAACGAAATTTCGGTTAACGAACTGCCTTCCATAAGGATCTTCAATTCGGTTAACGAACAAAAATTCGGTTAACGAATTTCTTACGAACCGACCTCAACATATTTTCGCTTGCACTGACCGGGCAACCAGCTTTAGTATCAGTCCGCCAATACATTAATCGGTTCTAGGGCTTAAATTCCTTACTATTTTAGTAAATATCAAGAAGTTTATACTATTCAATAATTTTAAAAGTTTAATATTAACTTTTTTAGTCATTTTAACAATTATTGAACATAATTGAAGGTAAAGAAACTAGTTTCTGGCGTGCCATCCAGCCTGTTAACACACCAGACAGGCGTTAGTCTCTCTCTGTTTTCAGTGGAGGTAACATCTTGCTTGAGACTCTCTTCAACTAAACGCTTTTTTTCTGTTTCCAAGCAAATTATTGGTCATTTTGAAATATATTTTACATATTGACAATATATAATGCAGTGCAGTGTTGATTTAAAGAAAATGATCTTGAAATACACCAAGAGAACTAAAATTTTATGGATGAAATGGTGCCATGGGGTGACTTCTCTTCCACCCCAATGCCTTTTCTTCTTCCTTCTCCTCCACCCCCATTCTAATTCCCATCATCATCATCATCATCCAGGAGCCTTCTACATACACACCTCAAAGTAAGTGAACTTTTCTACCATTTTTGTTGAATTTAGGAAATTTTCGGTGAGCTGGAACCAATTACCCAAAAACCCATTGAAACAATGGTTTCGGTTAACGAACGACCTTCTGGAACGGACGGAGTTCGTTAACCGAGGGGTCACTGTATAGCAATATATGGTTACATTTTCTTGTGATCCAAATATCCAACACATCATAATACAGCTAAGTGAGGTATGATAACCCCGGATCAACCCAGCAAGCACCTAACCTGAGAGCAAGAGGCGATGATGGAGCGAGGTAGACCGATGGAGGGGGCCCAGGCAACATCACGCACCCAGTCTGAGTGTCCTTCTAGCTTGCTCTCCTCTGTCCATTCTCCGTTGGTACTGTCAAACCTCCATATCTTAACGTAGGTGTCACATCCACCGGTGACGATGCGCTGTACAGCACTTCCTGATCTGTTGGAGCCATCAGCTGACCCAGATGCTACAGCAGGTGCCCAACTCACTGCATTACAGCCAATCTAGAAAAATACATTATTAATTATGCTGTACAAGTGTGGAACAAAAACATAATTAATCAATGTATGAATATGGCTGTGAGTGTTGATAATACAGTCACTATGGTGTACCCATTGATAGTGACTACTTCTGAAACATTCTTTACTCGAGTTGTCTCTTGCAGGAGACTGAGGAGGTATTTGCTCCTTAGTAAATGTAGTTTTAACATTACCACAAGTTAAAAATTACTTCACAGGGTAAAAAGCACAGGAAGGATACAAATTATCAAAAGCAATTTGGGTAATTTCCTTCATCTCCTGATAATTAACACACAAAGTGACTACAGATTAATATATAACATTAGCATATAACCAAAGAATTGGAATCTTTCAATAACATCAACATATGTAACTGAAACAAAGTTATAAACTCAGGATATTTAATACAAAAACTTGTTAAAAACTGTTAAGTGAAAAGAAGGACAGAATACACCTACAAAACAAAGCTTATGTTTATCTTGGCCAACACACTTCAGTATATTCTGCTCATCATGGGTTAAAATACTGTACTCTACCCTAAATCTACTGAGGACAACAGTGTCTGGATGAAACACAGAAAAACTCATGATGTAGAGGATTTGTTCTCAGTGAGAAGACAAGCACTCAACGTGTTAAAATATCTTACAAGACACTACTCCTTGTTGTATTCAGTGAAACATCAAGGTAAGCTTCTAGTTTAATAATGTTAAAATATATACAGTACAGTATATATACTCATATACAGTATTAAGAATATATTCTCAGGTGTCCCTTATCATAGTACTGTACAAAATTATCACAGCTTCAAGTAACTTACAGAGTGAGCATTGGTGATTTTTTTAGACTCCCAAGTGTGAGCTGTGGAGGTCATGATAGACACAGAGCCATCCGCTGAAGCACAGGCCAGAATGAGCCCATGTTCATGAGGGGCCCAGCACACACTGTTCACTGTAAGCATAAAATTAACATGTTTGGGAAGATAAAACTAATATTGTGATAAGTGCTTTACGGTGGATGAATGTGCAGACTATATCAAGAGGTTCACTGTAACAAGATGGCAGCCAAGTAGGTAAAAAGAAAAACATTACAGTATTCTCTCACAGGCATTTACCCAACATTCATATTAAAAATCAAACTATGTAATAATGATATTCAGACATGTTGGGAGTGTAAATGGGGTAGGAAGGCATAGAGGACAGTTAGCACCTGGGGGGGAGGGGGTGGGGGGGGTCTGGGACCACAAAGCCCTTAAGTCCCTGAATGAACCTGGTTGACCCCTTCACTACGGGATGCCACGTTTAATATTTCATTCAGCTAATCCCACACAATTATATTCAGCTCAGAGACGACCCCCATACACAAGGGATTAAAACTACTGAAGAAACCTGAGCATTAAGCTACATGTTCCAGTGCCTCAGCATAGTGATTTCAGAGAGGGAAAATTTATAGCATAATAAGACCTCATCCTTCACCTGAGAAACTAGAGGAAGCCTTTAAAGTGTGTACAGCATGTAAAAAAAACTAAAATAAAAGAGAACTTTAAATGTATTAAACAAAAAGAAGTAGATATTGCTTCATAAGATGGGGAAATAATGTAATGTATTGTAATGTGAAAGATTAAAAGAAATGTATAATAAGTGAAGTTAAGAGAAGTACAGTACTTATGTGGGAGAATAAGACGTCTAAACTTACAGTGACAAGACGCCAATCACCCCAATGACTAGCAAACTGACAAGAGGTGAACTGATGAACAATAAATAGATAAACCTATTCTCAAGGCTCTTGTCCACGTGCGAGATGTCACTCACTACAGTACAGAACCAGCCCAACATCACACACAGGAAGGGCATGCAAATTTTCTGAATGGGAATATCTTAAGTCAGGAAATACATAACACAATCCCCTCCTCCCCCCAGTCCACACAGGAGGGATATAGGGATCGAGTTGTCTGTCTGTAATCATCATAAGCTAATGATAAGACAATTACCGAGGACTCTATTTGTTAGATCTAGTATGTTCTGTTTCCTCAAAGGTCCCAAAATATCCATCGTTAATCATCATTTCATAGAATCCCCCCGTCTACATTGTCACCTAAGTTAATCATCAGTGCATTTAAAAATATATATCATAGGAAAAGAAATAAAAACATGTTAATTTACCGGAAGAGTCGTGGTTGGCATATTCGTGAATTTTCTTCCATTTGTGACCATCTTCTTGCCAGATTATAACTTTACGGTCATAACTGCACGACGCTAAAATGTTGCCATACATAGGGTGCGCCCATGCCACCTGCCACACCTGCGAGAAATAAACGTAATAATTATATAAATGACTTTTTTATAAACAAATGTAATAATTAAACTTAAATATTCACATAATGCCAGTTGTAAAAATTACCGGACTTTGTTACTTGAGTAAAAGTATTGTTACATTGGCAAAATGTTACTCAAGTAGAAATAAAAGTATCCAAAGTTCAATATACTCAAATGGTAGTAAAACAGTACCTCTTTCATAAAGTACTCAAGTACTGAAAGTAAAAAGTATCAAAAAAAATTTTAATTGTTTCAAATAATAAAATAAATCTACAGTAAATTATAAAAAAAATAGTTAATTAAAGATAAAAATAAAAGACAGTATTACACGTTTATTTGTAAATTTTTCTATTGAGATTAATCAATAACTGATTAACAAAATTATGGTTGTCCAATCAGGATTTTTTAGGCCTAAATATAAGCCCAGCATGACCTAACGAAAGAGAATTTGTTCAGCCACTCTTCTCCCTACAATCCACCACAGGGATAGTGAACGGGCTGAATATATATCCATCCAACACTATGATCACTTTCTTCCTTATCCACATAAGTATCATCGATGTGGACTTATGGTCCACATTCATAATGTTGTCTCTTTTCGCATTAGGTTAAGATACAGACCTATCTGGCAAGTATCTGAGGTGAGGGATGATGTGCACTTCTCTTCCTGTAAACTCTGTAACTGTCCCAATGCTAGAACCTTTAACACTATTACCTTGACTGTCCCACTGTCAGGGACCTTCTACCACAGGGAGAGTCACTAACCGCTATATGTCACCACCTACTTATTCGTAATAATTTAAATATAATTCTTGTACGCTACCCACACTTTGGTGGGTGCTACCTCCCATTGTCCTTAAATCACAAGTCACAGTGTGTCCTGCAAGACATGAGTACCAATGTAAGAGTGTCTGACTGCATTGTCTTAGGACTAGGCTTGTTGCCCTCGGGGGTGTAATAAATTAATTAATAATAAGTCCAGCATGACTAAACAGAAGCTCACAACCTGCAGATGTAGGTAGTGGGGTGGAAAGCTTGAGAAATAAGTCACAATGTTGGGAAAGACCTCAGTAGCTCCATTCCATCCCCTGGGCATGCCAAGTAGTTATCAAGCTCCTTCAGTTGAGGAGTTTGGAAGACTGTTGCCTCCACAGTGACTGAGTCTGACAAAGACTCGCCATGAACTGTCCCTTTAATTGGGGTGTGGCTGTGGTGACGTCACTTTTCGATTCTAATTAATTAGTGGCTGAACTTTTCGCGCCACAACATCTGGCGAGTGCTGGGGAAGAGGGGGCAGTGGTTCTTAGTTATTTCAGCAAAATTTTAAATACTCTCAGTCTCACACATATGTATACATACAGGCTTTATATCTAAGACTGAATTATGTAAATCATTTTAGAATCCCAGCCTCTTTGAAATTCATTTTAGGTACAGGTATATGCAAAGAGCAAGTGACATCCAACAGGAAGACCAAGCCCCTGAAGGAAAGGTGGGGGTGAAGAGAGGGGATTCGATGGGGGACGGAGGATAAGAGGGTAGGCTAGGTGAGGTGGGTGGTCAAGGTGCTAATGGACACAAGAAGATCAAAGGGAAAGTCCGCTATCATGGCTACTGCCACCTGACGTCACCTTACAAGACCTTTAGGTACATGACTGCACGGTCAAATACCATACCCTTCACGGCTCCACCCACACAACTCTTACTATGGTTAATAAATAATTAATTTATTAAAAAATATATCATTAGTTTGCATGTAACGAGTACCGATTTTTGTTTTTCAATTTTATTAGAGTAAAGGCATTAGCAAACCATACTTAAGTAAAAGTACCAAAAATATTTAGTACTTTATAAAACGTAAATACCCAAAAATATTACAGTCAACCCTCGCTTTACGCGGTCCCACATTACACGTTTCCACGTTTACGCGGTACCCTGACGAAACCGGAATGCTCACTTTCCGCGGTGCGTGTACCCCTTTACGCGGAGAGCGGCTGGCGAGCCGCGCCATTTTTGGATCCAAACCTCCCGCCATCCGCCATGTTGTGTAAGTGGCGCGAGGAGGTTGCGCAGTGTATGTCTTTGTTGGGTTATCAGTGACGGCTGCTAGCTGTGATTGGTTTAAAGTAATATGACGTGTCCACCCGCGGGAGGGAGGGAGGAAAGCCGACGCTTGACCTAGCCACGGCAGTTTCATCCCTCCAGGCCACCATGTATACGTGATTCCATTGTTCTGTAAAATGGCTTCCGCCGGACCACCGCCCCCAGAGAGAAACCTTTCCTTACCTGGACCCAGCCGCCCTAAGCCAAAGAAGACACGACGTTCCTTAAGCTACGAAATTATGTACAAGATCATACAAGAGTTGGAGAAAGGAACAAGACAGGTTGATCTCGCGCGCCAGCATGGTGTTAACGAGTCTACGATCAGGACAATTAAGAAGGATGCAGCCAAGATAAAGGAGCACATGAACATCACAAAGTCTACAGGTACTTCTATGATCAAGTATTTCCACAACCAGGTGCTTCTCAAGACCGAAAAATTACTTGTGAGCTACTTGGTGCATCAGGCGCGACGGAACATGGCGGTGGACACGCGCTCAGTTAAGGAGTACGCACGTGAACTGTATGCTGCAGTGTCACGAGAGATGGGAATTACAGAGCCCAAACCCTTTAATGCTTCCTCTGGGTGGTTACAGAGGTTTAAGAAGAGGAACAAGATCTCCAATATCAACAATGGTGGTGAAGAAGCTAGTGCTGACCGTGTTGCGGCTAGGGAATTTCCTCCGTTTTTACGTGAGATTATGGAGGAAGGACAGTACACCGACGACCAGGTGTTTAACATGGATGAATCTGGTCTTTTTTGGAAAAAGCTACCTTCCAAGACCTTCGTTGTGAAGAATGCCAGCAAGTGTCGGGGCCGGAAGTTGCAGAAGGAGCGCATCACCGTCCTGTTTACCACCAATGCCTCCGGTACCTGTAAGCTCAAGTTATCGGTGATCCACACAGCACGCAAGCCTACAAGAGCATGGACATTAGGGGGCAGGGAAAAAACACTTTTATTTGAGTTGCAGGCTGCACTTTTCAGGCATCGTTTGTATGGCTGTAACAAACACCTGTGCAAAATTTCATGCCATTTCATGCATACTTACCCTGCCGCATCGCGAACGACTTTTTGTCAACTTTTAGTGTATACCAAAAATTAGGTGTCATTTAATGTTTTCCAGGATAATGATAAATTTTACATGGGTGACATCGATTTAATTCACATGTTATTTTACAGGTACACCGTATAGAAAATCATTACAAGTTCATATTGAAATTCTTTTTTGTGCGGAACCTTGGCATCATTTTCCTAGACAATAATCTTTGCCTAATATATCCATCTCTCGATTCGTATCCCGTCACTTCAGTGCAAGCTTCAGTCATCACTTTTATGCCTCTCTCGACCGCCTGAGTGCTGTTTGGCCACTTGGGCACCACTAATGGTGTCTCAAGAATGTCATTAACCTGTAGATTTGACAGAGAAGCAATGTAAGGAGGCTCAGTCTTGAGTTCATTCCTCCAGTTAATCATGGAATGATAGTTTTTTGCTTGCCACTTTAGTTTCGGAGTCACCACCTTTCTCATGTTGACTACAGGAGGCACATCCTCATTCCCATCTCCATCTTTACCCTCCTCATCAGTATAGTTTAACAAATTCTCGTCAACAGCAGCATCAGAATCTTCCTCCTCCTCTTCAGATCTGCCAGTGTTGATCTGTGTGGGCGAAGTATGCATTTCTCTGGACAGCCTTCTTCACTATCGTCTCCTCACTATTCAGGTGTTTCATATATAGCAGGGACTGGAATACGTTCCTTGAGCCGTGTGTTACGTAAGGGTGTATCTTGATGTAAAACCACATTGGAGCACTGAACTTTATTATTGTAATGACAATTCTTTTCAACTCATGGCTGGGTTTTGATGTTGCTACATACAGCCTGAGGATTCTACTCCATAAGGTGTTCCACCTTGACACACAGGGAGGACCTGGCTCAATAGCAGCCAAGTCATCTTCAACAACACCTGTGATAACTCCTTTACAAATTCTATACAGGTATTTCTGATCCCAGGACAGATCTTTCTCCACTTCATCATTAAACACAGGGAAATCAGGGAAACTGACTGGCTGGAAGGCGACAACTGGAAGCTCAGACAAAGACTCCTTGATCTGCTTTCCAATGGGACCACGCCAATGCTCAGGACCACTTGGTTTACCATCATAGTGATAAAAAACTGCGCGGAAAGGCAGCTCATTTCCGTGAAGCTGACATATGAAATAATGGAGCGGGTGACCAAGTAACATTTCAAGATGATGAATGACTCCATTTTCTGATCCTACATTTACATTGGTTCCATCACAACCAACACACACAATGGGCTGCTGGGTTAGATTTTTCTCCACCAGAAACTCGTGAATAGTTTTGGCAATCTGCTTTCCGTGTCCAGTCTTGGGAGTCACATGTGTGAGATATTCATTGCCAGGCTCAACCATGATGACATAATGATCTTTCACCATCATCCTCGAACTCCATTTCTCGGTCTTCTCATTCTTTATCATCACACGAGTGGCGGTCTTCCCTACATTACAGTACAGTAACACAACATTGAGAAATGAAATGAGAAAAGGCTGATAATCAATATAGACATAGCACCATACTCATCTGCAACAAGACAACTTAAATGAAATAAGAGATATGAAAAAAAGTTGATAAACACTGAACAGAACATTGCACCGCCACAGCGGCTGTTTGACTAGTACTGTAGGTAAATTTAAAAATTTCAGTAGAAAATGCGGCAGACTAAACCTCGACATATCAGCTTCAAATTTGGCATGGAGTCTTAGATATGTATAAGGAACAATGCCTGAAGAGTGCAGCTTTGAGCAAAATTTCACTGCCCCCTAATGGACATGACCAAGCTAAATGTCCACTGGCTGACCGCACATAAGGC